CATCCGCTACACACTAACACACTCTCTGCATTCACTACACATTAACACACTCTCTGCATTCACTACACTAACACACTCTCTGCATCCGCTACACACTAACACACTTTCTGCATCCGCTACACACTAACACATACTGCATTCACTACACTAACACACACTCTGCATTCACTACACATTAACACACACTCTGCATTCACTACAAATTTACACACACTCTGCATTCACTACAAATTTACACACACTCTGCATTCACTGCACTAACACACACACTACATTCATTACACTGACACACTCTGTATTCACTACACACTAACACACACTCTGCATTCATTACACACTAACACACACTCTGCATTCACTAAACTATGCACACACTCTGGATTCACTATACTGACACACACTCTGTATTCACTACACTAACATACACTCTGCATTAACTGTACACACAGCATCCACTACACAAACATCCTGTATTCACAGTACACACACTACATCCACCACACATTGAAACACTCTGCATTCACTATACACAGACACTGCGTCTAATACATGCACTACATCCATTACAGACACTGCACCCACTAAACACATTTCATCTAGTACATACAAACACTACATCCACTACACAAACACACACTACATCACTGTACACACAGTATATCCACTACTCAAACACACTCTGCGTTCACTATACACACTGCATCCGCTACACAAACACACACTCTGCATTCACTGTACAAACAGTATCTAATACACACCAACACTACATCCATTACACATATTCTAATTCACTTCCACTATACACACCACATTCAGTCCTGCATCATTGTCAGCGGACCAGGTAGGGCGTGGGCGGGCCCGGGAGTGAGGGGGGGGCCCAAACCTTGTGCTTTGTCAGGGGCCCCAAAATTTCTGATGGCGGCCCTGGATGAATCTTACCTGTAACAGTAGAAAAGAAAGCTCTTAGCACAACTCTCAGACAGTTGAAGCTTCTGTAAAACTCTCCAGAATATCTCCAACTACACACTTAGAAACAGCACTTGGAAGTAGCACCAAGCAGGAGCCGCGCGTGCATTCAGCCAGTCCTCACAATGTATTCCTATGGACGCTTGCGTCTTCTCACTGTGATTTTCACAGTGAGAAACGCGGAAGCCCTCTAGCGGCTGTCAATGAGACAGCCACTAGAGGCTGGATTAACTCTAACATAAACATAGCAGTTTCTCTAAAAATGCTATGTTTATAAAAAAAAGGGTTAACCCTAGATGGACCAGGCACCCAGACCACCTCATTAAGCTGAAGTGGTCAGGGTGCCCTTTAACTGCTTTTAATTCAGAAACTTTAAACCGAACTGATTTCAGAATTTAAAGGATCACTATAGTCCACATATAAAAGCAAGAAAGACAGGTCCCCTAGCCTTCTTCCTTGCTTTTATATGATCTTCCCCTTATTAAAAATTATTTTCAAGCCCTTTTTTGTGATATAAACTTACCTGCGTTCCAGCGCCGAGATCCCCGTGAGGCCGCCCCCCCTTTTTCGTCAAAATGACGAAGTAGCAGGGCTTAATCAGACGCTTCTCTTAGCGATCTGGTGCGCATTGGGCCATTGAATACCGCCCTATGAATGAACACTGAGCACTCTACCGCGCATGTGCGCGATATGTGCGTTCGCGAGCTGAGCTGACTGACAGCTCAGCTCGCTGTCTATGCCCGTCCCCCTCTTACGGTAACCCTCCAAACCAAAAGTAAGTATACAAACACTATATATAGAGAAATCTCTATATATAGTGTTTGTATAAAAACACAGATTTTAAATAAAAATTGTTAAACATACACTATTTCTTCCTATCTATCTCTATATCTCTTTCTTTCTTTCTGTCTATTTATTTCTATATATCTATTTCTCTCAATCTATTTCTATCTATTTCTTTCTATCTATCTCTTTCTATCTATATCTACCTATTTCTTTCTATCTATCTATTTCTATTTCTTTCTATCTATTTCTTTCTTTCAATCTATCTATCTATCTATTTCTATTTCTTTCTATCTCTGTTTCTTTCTATCTATTGCTGTCTATCTCTATCTATCTATCTCTATTTCTTTCTATCTATTGCTAGCTTTCTATCTATTGCTAGCTATCTATCTTTCTATCTATTTCTATCTATCTCTCTAAATCTCACACTCACTCTCTATCACACTCACAGTCTCTCTAACTCTCACTCACTGTCTCTCTCACACTCGGTTTCTCTCACACTCACAGTCTCTCTCTCACTCTCTCTCACACTCACTGTCTCACTCTCTCTCACACCCAGTCTCTCTCACACTTTCACACTCACTGTCTCACTCTCTCTCACTGACTCTCTCAAACTCTCTCACACTCACTGTCTAACTCTCTCTCACACTCACTGTCTAACTCTCTCTCACACTCAGTCTCTCTCAAACTCTCTCACACTCACTGTCACTCTCACACTCAGTCTCACTCACACTCACTGTCTCAATGGCATGGACATATTCCAAGATGACTATGCCAGGATTCATCGGGCTCAAACTGTGAAAGAGTGGTTCAGGGAGCATGAGTCATCATTTTTCACACATGGATTGGCCACCTCAGACTCCAAACCTTAACCCCATTGAGAATATTTGGGATGTGCTGGAGAAGGCTTTGCACAGTGGTCCGACTCTCCCATCATCATCACAAGATCTTGGTGAAAAATTAATGCAACATTGGACGGAAATAAATCTTGTGACATTGCAGAAGCTTAGTGAAATGTTCAATAAAGAGTAGAGTATCTCTGGTAAACTCAATATGACAAAGTCCATTGTCTAACTCACTCTCACACTCTCTCACACTCACATTCTCTCTCCCACTCACTGTCTAACTCACTCAGTCTCTCTCACACTCACTGTCTTTCTCACACGCACTGTCTAACTCAGTCTCTCTCACACTCAGTCTCTCTCACACTCACTGTCTAACTCACTCTCTGACTCACAGTCTCACTTAGTCTCACATTCTCTCACACTATTTCACACTCACTGTCTCTCTCACACTCAGTCTCTCTCACACTCACTGTCTCACTCACACTCACTGTCTAACTCACTCTCTGACTCACAGTCTCACTCAATCTAACATTCTCTCACACTCACTGTCTCACTCACACTCATGGTCTCACTCACACTCACTCACAGTCTCTCACTCTCTCTCTCTCTCTCTCTCTCTCACACTCAGTCTCTCTCATACTCAGTCTCTCTCATACTCAGTCTCTCTCCACACTTTCACACACAGTCTCTCTCACTCTCACTGTCTCCCTCTCACACTCACTCTAAATTTTTAAAATAAGTTTACGTACAGTTTGAAGTCAGGAGATCTCTGCATCCTCCTGCCTTCAGCCTGTCAGTTCGAGCTGACTACCACGCGATGCTGACAGACTCTGGGAGACAGAATGCTTGTGCACAGTGCTCTGTCTGCTGACAGCACATCTGAGTTGATGGATGCGAATTACGCATCCATCAACTCAGAAGTCCCTCTGGTGGCAGTCTGAGTGACTGCAACTAGAGGTGTTCCTAGCATTCAATGTAAACATGAGAAAGGCTGCAATGAGCTATAGTTCTCATCTGAACAAATTTAAACTATTCGTTCCTAGAAATAAGATCAAAGGTGTGAGTTATATCACCTGTCGGTATTTACATTTGAGGGAGGAGAGAGGACCCATGAGCTCAGGCTGCAGCTCCTCCGGGTCCTCCTCTCGTGAGATTTGGAGCGTCGCCGTGGAGCGCGGGCTAGAGTTCACTCTCCCAACTGGGACCACCAGGGAATCCCCACTGGACCACCAGATATCGAAATATGTCCCCCCCCTACACACACACACATACATTGCCCCCCATATTGCCCCCCATACACACATACTGCCCCCCCATACACACATACTGCCCCCCATACACACATACTGCCCCGTACACAAACACTGCCCCTATACACACATACACACATACTGCCCCCCATACACACACAAACTGCCCCTCATACACACATAACATACACACCTACTTATACACATACTGCCCGCATACACACATACTGCCCCCCCATACACACATACTGCCCCCGCATACACACATACTGGCCCCCATACACACACACTCCCCCCATACACACATACTGGCCCCCATACACACATACTGCCCTCCACACACACACTCTACACAGATACACTACCCCCATGCACACGCACTACCCCCATACACTGCCGCCCCATACTCACACATACACTGCAATACTCACACACACACACTGCAACTGTTACACACACATACAGTCCCACACATACACTGCATCCCTGACATACACTGTCGCCCTCACTCACACACTACAACCTTCACACACACACACACACACACACACTGCACCCCTTACACATTGCACCACTCACACGCACCACTGCTCCTATGCCCTACTACAGCCCCATTTCCCAGCAGATCTCAGGTAAGTTGTCAAACTGTTCTTAAACGGTTTGACTACTTACTGTGGGAGGGGGTCCCGGCACTATTGACACCATAACCATTACACTGAGCTGTAGTGGTTATTGTGTCTGGATTATTTCTTTAAATAATCTACAAGTGCACCTCCCGAGATCAGGCTCTGGATCCTCCACTGAACGACACATTCTGGAAATATATACCTATGGCTTCTATTCCCGAAAATATAAAACGGTAGATCTTCTACCTTCAAACATATTGGAAGAATTAAATAACGAGCAGATTGAAAGACTCCATCTGGATACCAATTAAAGATCATTACCATCTAGAGAAAAGATTGGTAATTATCTAAGTAAAAGGAACAAGAAACCTGATTTAAGACATGAGAGTAAATTAATTGACGGAGCTCCAGGTGATAGTGTCCGTCAATTATTTTAACGTGAGCTCATATGGAGGTGTGAACCGCATATACCATATATATATATATATTTCGGTTTTGTACCATCTACACTGTTTTTTATTATTATCTATAGGTACCTATGGGGCTTTCTAAGTGTCACCTAAAGTATCAACACTACTATTTTAAAGGTGATTATTATTCTGTTATTTCCTTCTGTTTTAAAAGTGCTACATTTTCTATTTATTTGTACAACTCAATAACAGTATTATTGTCCCTGCAACTTATTTATTAGTGATGTAAACAGTAAGGCAACTATTTTACCATATGCTTCTTTTTTAACTTTTCTGTTTTTTAAATTTTGTTTTTCAGTTGGACCACGTATTGTTCAGTATATTATAAAGGTGATCATGCAAGCTCTTCAGCTTTTTTACGTGTTGTTGAAGATGGACACACCTTCCTATATTCTCCTTCAGGTGAGAAACGCTTATTAATGCATTCGCTTTTTAGAAGTAGTTTTCTGTAAAGAAAACAAACATTTTGCACTCATAGTAACTATTTTCCATATGCAACACTTTCAGTTTTATAACATTTTATATTACTAGTGGAAGATTGCTGTGCACAGTATGGCATGTGGCTAACCTCCAGGCAGACCTGAATTATCTTTTTGGGTCACTGCTGCCCCACTCAGTTTAATGAGTCTGCCTGTCTATCTATATTGATTAGCAACAACATTAAAGCCACTGACAGGTGAAGAGAATAACATTGATTATATTGTTACAATGGCAACTGTCAAGGGGTGGGATATATCAGGCAGCAAGTCAGTTTTTGAATTTCATGAGTTAGAAGCAGGAGAAATGGGCAAGCCAAAAGATCTGATTGACAAAATATTGATGGCTAGACGACTGGATCAGAGCACCTACAAAGTTACAAGTCTTGTGGGATGTTCTCGGTATGCAGTGGTTAGTACCAACCAAAGATGTGCAAGGAAGAACAACCGGTGAATCCTTGTCAGGTTCATGGGTATCTAAAGCTCATCGATGTACGCAGGGAGCAAAGGCTAGCCTATCTGGTCCACTACTGTAGCTCAGATTGCTGAAAAACGTAATTCTGGCCATGATAGAAAGGCAGGGCTGCCATCAGGGGGCGACAACCATAATGGGCCCCCCGATGGGCCCTATAATCTTCAGGGGCCCGGTTAGCGCTGCGGCCGGGTAATTGCGCGACCGGGCCCCTTTAAAAAAAGAATTGCGGCTGCACTGCAAATGCTGCTGGGAGGAAGTGACCGGCTTACTCCGCGCGCGGGGAGAGCGGAGGCCAGGAGAGGACACCAGAGGCATCCACTCCCATCATCCCCAGCCACACTCCTGCAACTTTAAGGTAAGAGGAGGGTGGCTGATAAATGAAGTGTGTGTATATGTATGTATGTATGTCTGTATATATGTCTGTGTGTGTGTATGTCAGTATGTATATATGTCTGTGTGTATGTCAGTATGTATATGTATGTCTGTGTGTATGTCAGTATGTATATGTATGTGTGTGTGTGTGTGTGTGTGTGTATGTCAGTATGTATGTGTGTGTGTGTCAGAATGTATGTATGTCTGTGTTTATGTCAGTATGTATATATGTCTGTGTGTGTGTGTATGTCAGTATGTATGTCTGTGTGTGTGTATGTCAGTCTGTGTGTGAGTCAGTGTGTGTGTGTATGTCAGTATGTATGTCTGTGTGTATGTCAGTATGTATATATGCCTGTGTGTGCGTTTATGTCATTATGCATGTATGTCAGTATGTGTGTCTGTGTGTGTATGTCAGTATGTATGTATGTATGTATGTCAGTATGCATGTATGTCTGTGTGTGTATGTCAGTATGTCTATATCTGTATGTGTGTGTGTGCCAGTATGTATATATATATGTCTGTATGTATGTATGTATGTATGTGTGTGTATCAATTTCTGATGGCGGCCCTGTAGAAAGGTGTCAGAAAACGCAGTGCATTGCAGTTTGCTGCGTTTGGGGCAGCATAACCGAAGACCAATCAGACTATCCATGATGACCACTGTCATCACCAAAAGTGCCATCAATGGGAACTTGAGAGTCAGAAGTGGACCATGGAGCATTGGAAGATGGTTGCCTGGTCTGATGAATCACATTTTCTTTTAGATCAGGCCGATGGATGGATGCGTGTGTGTCATTTACCTGTGGAAAAGATAGCAGGAGGTGTCAGGTTAAGAGTATGAAACCTGAAGTGCAGTACTTGCTGTGATACAAAAGTCCAAAGCATACAAATCCAGAAAGGGCAAAGCAAAAGCAAGGTCATGCAGTCCAAAGCTCATATATCCAGGCAGCAAAGGTTCAGAAGTGAAGGAGCAAGCCAAAGGTCAGGTAACCCAGGAGAGTAAAACAATAACACAGGTAGTTGAAGGGAAGTAGCACAGAACAACTGAGCAATGATAGTTCAGCTGTTCACAGTTTAAATAGGGTGCCTAACTATTGACACATCTATTCTGAAAGGCCTCCTAAGTACCCTATTGGTATATGGACTGTCAGTAGTCTGGGGTTGTCTGTGGAGGTAATATGTCATAGCTGCACCCACAGGGCTGTCCTACTGCCTGCCTCTAGCATTCGCAAACGCATGCGTTTGGGAGGCCGCTACTCGGAATTATTGCCGGAGCAGCGAGGGAAGAGAGGTAAGTCGTGACAGCAGGATGCACATGGGAAAGAACGCACGCCGGCAGAGGCAGTGTTATGACCTGGACAATGTTCTACACATGCTCCATACATTGATGACAGTATCTTAGCTACATATAACTAACTAACAGATACAACAGATACTTGTACTTGTATAGGCATCCCCCCTTTGATGCTTCTGATACAAAGTACTCCAGATGCATCACTTACAATTCTTTGCCAATACCACTCAGGTAATTACAAAACAGGGGACACCATGTGAGCATTCTAGCTGAATTTTATGAATTCTCAGAACTTACCGACCTGATTACAAATGATTTCTCTTTTGGCTAGAGGTTCATATCTCCAGATGGCCATTACGTGAGCTGCTGTCTTCCTTTCTATAGTGCTCTCAATAACACTACGTATGGACCGAATTATTAATGGAATCAAGCAGGGTAATAAGAGGCATAAGATAATAATAAATACCACTCCTCCTACCAGTGCTTTTATTCCTCTAAACTGTTCATAACAGCTTCCAAACCAACTACCTGGATTATACCCGTTCCAGATCTGAGTAGGTACGTTAATTTAACCATGTGGCTGGTAAGGTCAACCACAGCTTGTCCTTCATCATCTATATTCAGACAGCAATTACTAAGATTAAACCTTCTGCGCACACCTCCTACTGCGAATAAATAGTCAAGAGCCAGCCTATTTTGGTAAATGGCTGACCTCATACGGGTATTCTATTTTGCCAGGAGGTTAGGGGCTATTTATTGGTTATAAACCACCGCCTGTAATCTTATGATGAGCATGTATATGGGGGTTCGGTAACCATAAGTACCATCTTCAGTCCAGGTAGCAGGTCCATAGTAATAAATAATTCGCTGGGGTGGGCATTCATCATCTTCCCAATTACCTATATTTAACGATTCTCGCTTCTTCCTATGATTTACATCATAGACCTTAACTCGCAAGGTCTCTCCTGTTTGGATTGGTAACAAAAAAGATGGTTTGAGCATACCTAACACACATGCCCCCGCCCAATCTTGTGGTAATTCTGAATATGCCACAAATCCAGTATACATTTTCTGGAGCTCTCCAGCTAGATGTAGCCGATAGATCAAACCATACCTCTCTTAAATTGGGTGTAATTAACAAATGGATTGGTAGGCTCTGAGACATTTGAAGCTGACCACCAGGTAGTATTATGGCTACTAGCATTATATGCTTTCCTCCCTAGACAAAACAACTCACCTACAGGTGTGTTATACATTGGGCTTCCCCTAGCTAAGCATACATGACCGATTATGGATATTTTTAATTGCCATTCCGATTTTTCCCGTATGGGTGCTTGATTACTGGAGTGGGAAGGCATCTGTTGCTCATTTGTCTCAGAACCAGGGTACCATATTTCTCTTGCTCCCCATGGCCATTGGTCTCCCATATTTGTACCTCCACATACAAAGCAGTTAGTTATATTAAGACTACTTGCAAAACTCTCAGCCAGATCAATAAACAGGTTCTTAACAGTGTGGGGAACTTTATCTTCAACACTCATCTCCTCATAAAAGGAATGGAATACCTGATGAGTTTGGGCATTCAGGGTCTCGATTTCAAGGCCTATATATAGGATGGCTCCTGGGTCTGTCCCTGTACCATATATATTTGGAAACCGAAAAGATTCCTAAACTTATTAATAAATCGCTGTGGATTATAAATTGTCATGTGTACAGGATACACTCCATTGATTTACAAGGAGGAGTAGTAGGTAACCTCTGAATTATCAGATCTTGGTCTACTGTTTTTTTCCCCAGGTCGCCCACCCTACACATGACCAATATGGGCAAAAGTTGAACTCCCTATTTGGACAATCAGGGTCAGTAGGTCTTCTACTAGGGTATAGATATGAATCATTAAACCCATAGGTTCGTTCCCACTTAAGATTACCACATATGCTCCAAGGTGTCATGACATGAAGGGGTGCTGCCCTGAGACAGCACTATCCCTTTAAATGTGGGAACCAATTTAGCAAAGAATAAAGGCAAGGACACAATGAATAGAATAAGTCAAGAAATGTATATTAAAGGGAACCAAAGGACAAAAGATAACAAAACAATATGTAATAAATATATACAAAGTCACAGAATAATAATTACAATAAATCAGGATAACCACAAATTGGGCAGGCAGAGTATACTTAAATAGTCCTTTGGTATAAAGAATGTATTTGGGCAGGATTGTGCGGCCACCACAGAAATAGGTGGGACACAGATCCAGAGCCACAAAACAAATATATAGCACCAGGAAGCAAAGCCCGAAGCAGGACAAACGAACAAGGCTGCAGGGTCAGGATCACTGGAAATACGGCAGGAGACAGGAACACTGAACCATAACACAGGATTGGGAGGCACAGGAACGCAGAACCAGGAGGACACGGGAACACAAGACACGAGAACTCAGGACCGGGAAACACAGGACACAGGATCAAGAAGCGAAGAGTCAGAATCTCAGGAACCAGGAAACAAGAACCACGGAACAATAAACAGGAGACAAGAGACAATGATCTGACAAGGAGTGAGGGGAGAAACCAGACTATATAGGTGCTAAACAAGGACCAGGTGAAGTGCTAATGAAAAGAAATTAGGAACAGTGCCAAACAGTGATAGTGGTAAGTGTGGGTACTGCACAAGGGCAAATCAACTAAGGAGTGTCGTGACACAAGGTTTTCCACTACCAGAAATTGCTTTGCATGCATCGAATAGTAGGATGCCTAAGGAAGAAGTGGTACTTAGCAAAGTTTTATTTTTCAATGCCCCCTGAGAGTAGGTATTTCGAAGAACCAGCCAGATTGTTCAGGGTCGGAATTGGGGATCAAAGCACTTGGGTTCACCTGACACTGGCTGACACACACTATAATAAGTGTCCAAGTATCTACATTTAGACACAGATCCTTTACATTCATAATGTGAGTGCTAAATAAGAGTTTGGGATATCTGGTTACCTGTTTTTGTAGTCGACTATCACAGCCTTGTATGTCGTCACCTTTGCATTCCGTTTATATAATAAAAACACTAAGACACACAAAGAAATACATTATAATGGAAGTCTTCATCCACATTTTCAACCGTGCAACGTCACCTCAGCTTCCCACTTGTGAGGGCTGCAAGGAATGTTGTTCGTCTGATCTTCTCTTCCCTTCACAGAGGTCCCTGCGAGACACTCTGGCTAGGAAACGTTGGTAGGTGGTCAGGCTTTATTATGGCCGTCAAAACACCTACTTTCTGCTCTCTATCTTTCTCAACCACAGGTTTTTGAAGATTGTCTCGTACTTCCTTATGTCACTTCAGGGACTGCTTCTTTCCCAGTAGCTCCTATTACAGTAATAATAGGGAGGGCCTACTAAATTGGTCACAACGAATTGTTCAGCACAAGTATCAATCATGAAGGGACTTTTCTTTTCCCCTATTGTTACTTCGACCATAGACTATGCTCGGCCAAGGGGGATGGAGCCTGGTCTGTATCAATAGTCCTCCATGACTGTATCAGCCAGACCCACAAAGTCCCTATCGTCCCTATCCCTTGGATATTATCTACCTTCCTGGACGTCTCCTCTGTTACTACTGTTGCTCCCGCCAAGACTTCCTCTTCCTCTATAGTCACCTCTTTAACCACCTCGTCCCCTTTTCTCCTCTTGTCTAAAACTTGCTTTATATCCCCTCTGTGGTCAGTCAATGTCCAATGTCCTTCCTCTCTGCAATACGCACATTGATTTCTGCCTAATGGTAGCCTGTCAATCCTATTCTCACCTCCCCTTTCTATCTCCCCTCCCTGTCTACCCACACCTGTAATAGCAACTGCTAACATATCTACTTTCTTTTTCATCCTTCGTTCCTCCTCACGCTTCGTTTCAGCTTCCCTATTCATATAAACCCTGTTTGCGATTTCCATAAGCTGTGTTATGGACATCCCTGCAAATCCCTTTAACTTTTGCAATTTCCTTTTAATGTCACTCTGGGCCTGGCTGACGAATGCCGAATTAATCATACAAGAATTTTCAGAGGCTTTAGGATTAAAATGGGTATAAAGTCTGTAGGATTCAAGCAGTCTCTCATAAAAGGCACTAGGAGATTCATCAGTTTTTTGTAATACTTCAGCTGTTCTTGACATGTTTATAGCCTTTTTCCCACCTGCTTTCATGCCTGTAATAATGGCTTGTTGGCAAGCTTTTAAATGAACCATATCAGCACCGTTTATATTCCAGTTAGGATCCGTATTGGGGAAATGGGCAGTAGCCCAAGCTGCTGAATTTGCTTGGTTTTGAGTACGGGCAGTCTCCTCAAGAGCTTTAATGGCCGCTTGGTTAATACAGGTCCTTGCCCCAGAATTAAATAGAGTTAATAATAACTGCTGACAATCAGCCCAAGTAGGGTTGTGGGTTTGTATGACAATAGGTCTGTGTGGTGGGTTGGTCTCATTCTTGTGTATTTTTGGTAAAAAGTATATAACTGGAATTTTTGGATGATGTATATTTAAATAAGCAAATTATTTTTTGTTGAGGATACTGGAATTTAAGCCTTTGGTTAAAAATGATAAAAGGGAGTTTTGGATGGTATGGGTTGGGTCTGATAGTAGCTTGTCATATACTTTGGGGTCATTGAGCTGTCTAAATGCTTATTTGATGTACATTTCTTGTGAGAGTATAACTAGGCCACCCCTTTTATCTGCTGGTTTGATGACTATAGTGTCATCATTTTTTTTTTATTTTTTTTTTATTCTTTCTTTTTGGTATGCAGGTAATTACAACAGTGCCTGTGCCGCCACAACAGCATTAACAGGCTCGACTGTTGTAGACATATGATAGCAGTATTGTGGCAAGTTGGATATGCATAAATTTTTATTTTTTTTTAAAGGTGAAAAAGGTAACGATACAGCAACCAAGCTTTTAAAAATATGGTTTAAGCTAAATTAGAGTGACTAGCTTACGGTATCATGGTGAGATCGACAGCCTTGTATACTTATGAGAAAACAGTAATGTACAATTCGCTTGCCGTATTTTAAAGCGCACAAAATTTGGTTAACAAAGCAGGCTAGACACACGCTGGTTAGACATAGTGAATTCCTTGATTGTTTGGTAACAATAGCTTAGGATTAGTGATTATAGTGAGTGTCAACGCTACATACTATATGAAAATCTTCTGGGCAGCGAATTGACATTCATATAGCTGGTTTTGGTGCTCACTGTTTGCTGAAGGGAGGTTAAATGCTGGGAGTTTTCAGTGGTGGTGAGTTTGAGTTTCCCGATGCGGTCTGTGAGGCCTCTTAGGTCCCCGCAGACTGTAGCTATGTCCGTTGAGATGTTTCTTTGGAGCTCGGCCAGCATCACCTGTAGAACAGTTTTTGTCACCGGGGATGCATCTGGGCCCTGTGGACTCCGTATGGGTCTCTCTGGTGCCGGCGGGTATTCCTTTTCGGCTCCCAGTGAGTCGTCTTCAGAGAAATCCGAGCAGCCTCCAGTGATGGTGGCCATCTTGGGCCCAGTGGCGCCATGTGCCTGCCGCCATAGGTCCCCGATTGTGAGCCCGAGCTGGGCTTGTCTGATCTGGGCTTCTTAGTCTTGCGTCCCATCTTGGTCTAGTTGGCCTGGGGGGTCCCACTAAACACTGTGGGTGCGGTTAAATAGGTTATATCACCCGATTTTGGCCAATTTGGTCGGGGGCTCTAGGATCATGCGACCAGTCGCTGCAGCAGTCAGGCTCCGGCTCCTAGTGTCTTCTTTTTTAAAGGTCTGTAAGGGCTTTTCTTTCTTGAAAGGTTAGGTTGTATTGGTTATATTTATGATATTTATGGGTTTTTGTTTTGGAGGTTTTAATTTTGTCTAAGTCTTGCTTTACCAAATTCTCAAAAACTTCTATCGGGCCTGATTTGAAACTTAAAGGGTAAAAAATAGATTTGTTCTTAAGGGTGGTGTTTATTACTGGTATCTCCTCATCAGTACATAGTGGTGTGGGGGAATTATTGACTTTGCCATGGTTAATAGATTGATTGTCAATTATGCTGCAAAAAAATCTTTTAAGTGTAGCTTTTCTAACAAACTTGTTTAAATCTAAAAAGGCTTGGAATGGTTGATAGGGATTGGTAGGTGCGAATTTAAGGCCCTTAGTTAAAACCGAAATTTAGGTAGTAGTTAAATATTTTTGGGAAAGGTTAAAAATTCCATGAGGGTTATCTGTATTAGTTAGTGTCTCTCTAGTCTTTCTTTTTTGAAATCTTCTGCCACTTCTCCTTCCTCTAGGCTTAGATTTCTCTTTTTTGTTCTGGGTAGGTAAGGTGTGGCAGCAAATGGGTTTGGGCCTAGTTCTAAAAAATGATCCTCAGTGTCTGTGTCCAAATCTGTGGATAATACTTGGTATCTGTTGGGATGGTGTATAGAGGGTAGATGAGGGGGTGTAGTGGGATGGGAGTGTTTGAATGTATGTCTGAATCTTTGAGGTCTGCGGGTGAGGTCAGGTCTTTGTGGGATAGTCATGAGTGGGACAGGTTTGGTGGGCCTGGGTTTGGGATAGTTGGAATAGGAGGGTGAAAGTCAAAACCCACCAAAAGCTCTACATCTAAACCACCCGATCGCCTAATATTTCTACAACCCCGTATCAATAGTCAATGGTTATGGTACTGTCAGTGGTTATGGTACTGCCACTGGTTATGGTATTGCCCGTAGTTATTGTGTCAGTAGTTATGGTGTCAGTTGTTATGGTGTCGGTGATTATGGTAGGTCAGTAATTATGGTGTTGTAAGTGGTTATGGTATTGTCGGTGATTATGGTAGGTCAGTGATTATGGTATGTAAGTGGTTATGGGGATAGGGGGATATGTTGTATATTGGGGTACTTTTCATACTTTATAAAAATGTGTTTTTTTTCTGCCTTGAGATAATTGAGTTACATACAGGACTTGACTCAATTATCTCCCAGGCTGAGGGGAGGGATTGTGTGTAATGTGTGGGAGCATCACCTGCATTATCATTGGCTTGTAACAATTGTCAACCTGTTCCCCACAAGGTCCAGGTGGGTGTTCCCTTGCATGGGGACTTGTATATAAGGCCAGCTGTGGCACCATTAAAATTCATTTCCTGCTTAACCCTCAACACGTAGCCTCATCTTGCGCTTGTAGGGAACCTGCTTCACAACTATATCACAAGCTCTTATAAGAGCTTCACAGCTATACTCTCAGAGGTTGGTCCAGGGTGGGAGAAGACGACGAGATTCCAGCTAAGCTACGGCGGTTGTGGAGTCTTCAGTGTTTGTGGAGTCCGGTGCAGTGCTTACAGTCCTCAGCGTCAGCTAGGAAGCATCTGTTGGCGGAGATGCCCTGTCAGGGTGCCAGGTGATCCATTAGTGTGTATTATGCATGCATGTATTGACATTGTGTGCAAGCACTGGCCATCTTAAAAATACAGTGTGAGACCTTCAAATGGTCTTGGCAGATACACAATATGGCCAAAAATATGTGGACACTCCTACTAAATATTGAGTTCTGGTATTTCAACATCATGCATTGCAAACAGGTGCATAAAATCCAGCTGCTATGGCAAGGGTGCCTAATTTATTATTGCACTGTGGAATATTGTCCTTTAATGTAATTTGTATAGTACATTAAGGATCTGGCGGCCTGGAAGAGATGCTATTGTCAATGTCAAAAGGGGTTAATCTGATTGTATGGAGGTCGAAAAGGGTTATATCTTTTGAAGCCGGGACCCCCCCATAGAGGTCAGATGACAGAAGGGATAGTGTGAATGGCATACGAATGTCAAATCGGATTTTACCATATGGATGGGAATTAATCAAGGCTCTGCAGGGTGTGAGATCCTACACCTTTAAAAGCCTAAATGTCTAGCTGGCTTTAGCCATTTTGCTGTACTTTGTAATTGATGAGCCTTGTTCCAGAAAATAAAACATTCATATTTACCCCATAGAATAATAATTAAGCCTCATTTGTGTTTTATTTGGAATGTGACAAGCGCCATCTTCTAAACAAACCCAAACATGAGTGGCCTAACTTGACCATAGAGGAAGTAATTGTGATGTTCGCCATATTGTGTCGCCTGTACGACGTGCAACATCTCTATAGAATGGGAACATAATAACAAATGCATAGATGCAAGTATTATTTCTGTGGCAGGTACATAAGAAAAGATAGAGCCAAATGTTTCTATTTGCATTAATGTGGATCTGGACACAAGGGGTGGTCACTTAGTGTCTCTATAGATACGCCTTAACTCAACCCCTGGGCAAGACTTGATAATCCACAGGGTATATATCCAATGATTTGGCAGGGTGTTGGTGTACTTGCTTGGGGTCAGAATCTAATTTCTAAGTGAGTCACTATCTTTCCTACCAGAGACCCCTTGGGGGAAAAGTGCTACTTTTTTTTGAGTAAGTGATTAGGATTTCTGTTATTTTATCCTTTTTTGTTTATTATCTGTTGTTGGTGTAAATAATTTGTTTATCATCTGTTTTTTTGTATGCATTGTGACTATTATTTTTTGCTCATAATAAATATTCCTTTATTAAGTTTTGCCTTTGTTTGGTAAAAGAATCACGTTACCTGAAGAGACTAATTAGTATTTTGCAATTACATAGAAATTGTACTAAGTAATATTTGGTGGGTTTTTATTATTACTAGGCACCCCATTTATAAATTGTCAGTGGTGGCAGCGTTAAAATAGTAACAGTTATCATGGGCGTCCACGGGAGGCGGGGGGGTTTCAGCTTATTCTGCTATTATTTGTGTGAGATTGAAAATACAGTGCAATCCCGTCGCCGGCCAGTAGGTGGCGCTGTGTATGAAGAGAGACAGGGATAGGAAGCTGCATCTTATCCCTGCATCTCTCTGCTGACTGAAACCCCATGGGAGCAGCACATGCAGGCAGAGATAGCCTACAGATCAGGGAAGTGAGGCATGGGGGGGGAGGGCGCAGAGATAGCCTACAGATCAGGGAAGTGAGGCATGGGGGAGACAGCCTACAGGAAGGGTCAGCAAGGACCAGGAAGGTAAAGTAAGAGAAGGAGAAGGAATAAAAAATGAGCTGGAAGGGACAGCAAGGAGCACAACAGGTAAAGTAAGAGAAGGAGCACAAAGGAACAGGAAGGGTATGCAAGGAGCTTGAAGGTAAAGCAGCACAAAGGTAAAGAAGAAGGAGCAGAAAGGGTCAGCAAGGAGCAGGAAGGGACAGAAGGAGCACAAAAGTGAAGTAGGAGCAGGAAGGGTTTGCAAGGGGCAGCCAGGAGTAGGAAGGGTCTGCAAGGAGAAGGAAGTGTCTGCAAAGAGCAGAAAAGGACAGAAGGAACACAAAGGTAAAGGAGCAGAAAGAATCAGAAGGTGCACAAAGGTAAAGTAGGAGATGGAGTAGAAAGGGATCAGAAAGAGAAAGGAGCAGAAGGGGGAGCACAATAAGCAGAAAGTAGCAGAAAGGTAAAGGAGCAGGAGGAGCCAAGGAGGATAGAAGACAGTGTCAGAAGAAAAAGAAGACTGTGTCAAATGAAGGAGAAGAAAATGAGAATGGAGCAGGAAGGACAAGTGAAGTGAACCCTTCACTTTATTATGGACACCACATCATAAGGCTTTAGTACCTGGGCCTGGCAGGGAAACTTTGGACCTTCTCATCTCCCCAGATAAAAAGAAAAAACAATGTTAATGTGTTCATTTTTATTTACTGAGTGTCAGGAAGCACAGAGGGCCGCTGGGGAGGAGTGTCGCTGATTGGCTAGAGCAGTCAGCTGGCACTCAAAGCCAATCAGTAGCTCCCCATTCATAAAAAAGTAAAACATTTTTATGAACTGGAAACTAGCGATTGGCTTAGAGCATCAACTGACTACTCTAGCCAATCTGTAGCACCCATGCCTGACGTCAGTCTGCACTTCCTGACACTCCATTTCAGAAGCCGTATACCACTGAGCGACCTGGAAATCTGGAGCTGGAGGAAGCCTTTGGGGTTAAACCATTTGCAAGCGGTTTAACCCCTTAAAGGAAAGAGAGCACCCAGGGGCTTCCAGGCATTATTGCATTTTCATTTAGATTAAGTTGTTATGGTGACCAGAATACAAACGTATTCCTGACACCATAGTTGTGAAAACGCTATTCACCCTGGCTTTATGTGATAATGACTATGCTCCTCCCCTTCATGACATTGTCGAAAAGGGACCAAGCATGAATGTCATTACAATTATGCCCCCCCCCCCCGGACAAATTCCTGCGGACGCCCATGACAGTTATATTATTATGTTTAAGTGTGGGTGGTGTTAAGGAGGATTTTGTCATTATTTCCGGTCTAGTGCAGACAAATAGTGTATCTTAACCCTTTCTTCACCACAAATACGTCACGCACACTCTTGAAGTAGGGTGCGTTTGTGACTCCAGCCATGAAAACTCCCTAGATAAGCATTGGCAGTACATTGGGTCGTATTGAAGAAATCTGTGACATTCAACATTGCAACAGTCTTTTTGTGAAATTTCTGCCTCATTAGATCTGCCCTGGTCAAAAGTTAGTGCTGTTATTGTGAAGTGAAGTATTCTAGGAGCAACAACCATCCAGCCATGAAGTGGTATAGCATGCATACTTACATAGCTCAAGTTGCATTACTCACTTCAAAGTTCCATACTGCTTCTGGAATCAACCTCAGCACAATGACTGTGCATCAGGAGCTTCATAAAATTGGTTTTTATCAACCCTAGTTACCACCTTTGGTATGAATTGAATTTAAGATTGTGAACTAGACCTTCTTGAACTACATCAGTGACTGACGTCACAAATGCACTTTTGGCTGAAAGGGCATTGGGAAGTTCCACAGACACAATTCAAAATATTGTTAAAAGTTTTCCCAGAAAAGTAACAGTTATTATAGATGGTATATGTGCCCATGATTTTTGGAATGGTGTGTCCAACAAGCTCATATAGATGTGATGGTCACATATTTTAGGCCCTGCAGTGGCAGTGTAAGTCAACAGTGAACTAAAAAGGTATTAAGGGGTATGTATTCATTGCTGGATAATACAAGATGAGACTATATTACATGTATTTTTTCAATAGTATTCCAGTTTCCCTTTACATAGACAATGATATATAAGGCACCCAGAACCATTGTCATTCCATAGATTATGACATTCATTAAGTAGTTTAATTGTGAATATTGGATCCTGACTTTCAGCTTTAAAGGAACACTATAGGGTCAGGAACACAAACATGTGTTCCTGACCCTATAGTGTTAAACCCACTATTTAGGTGGCTTACCCTCTCCTTTACCCCCTTAACAGCAAATAAAACTGATCTGCCTCCTTAGTGACATCATCAGAATTGCATTGGATTGGCTAAAATCGGCAAGGAGGTGGGATGGGGGTGAGGCCAAACACCATTTTGGCCAATTAACACCTCCTCATAGAGATGCATTGAATCAGTGCATCTCTATGAGGAAAATTTAGCAACCCCGTGCAGAGCGGAAGACGCTGAATTCAGCAACCCCATGCAGAGTGGGAGCACTGCCCCAGGAAGCACCTCCAGTGGCCGTCTGAGGAGTGGTCACTTGGAGGTGTTCCTAGGGGGGAAAAAGCAATGTTTGCATGACAATACCTTAACCCCTTCACGACCGCTGACGATTCAGGATTGTCATCAGAAAAATACCTCTGAGGACCGATGACGGTCCTGAACCGTCATAACGGTAATACTTACCTGATCACCACCGTTCCCCCGGCGGTGATCGGCGGTGCTACCGGTGTGAAGGGATTGCCAGATGGCGAATTAGGACCCCCGCGGCCATGTGATCGCTCTAACATAGCAGTCACATGGCCGCAATAGGTGCCTGTGTATCTGCCTGAACGGACAGCCAGTCTCCCTGCATGTGTAAAAAAAAAAAATTGTTAATAAATAAAAATATAATTACATATGTGTGTGTGTATGTATGTATGTATGTATATATATATATATATATATATATATATATCTATATATGTGTATATATCTATATATATATGTATGTATGTATATATAGTTATATATATATGTGTATATATCTATATATATATAATTATATATATATTGTGTGTGTGTGTGTGTGTGTGTATATATATATATATACTATTGTAAAATACAAATAATAAGTAAATACAAATAAATTAAAACGTAAAAATAATTTTAAAAATTTCAAAAATTATAAATATATGTAATTTTATTCTAACTGTATTTTGATATAAATATATATATATATATTTATATGTATATATATATATTTATATCAAAATACACTTAGAATTACATCATATATATATATATATATATATATATATATATCTCCATGTACAAAATTACATAAATAATTTCAGAAATATACACGTAGACTTCAAACATATAAATATGTATATATATTTAAATTTTACGTGCATATTCATGTAATATTTTTATATAATTAACCCCTTCCCGACCAAAGATGGAAATTGCGTTAAGGACCCTTGACGTAAAATTTCCATCATTTACTAAAGTTAACCCCAGATCGCAGCGATCCCTGCAGCAGTGATCGCTCCGACAGGCTGTAATAAATTTTTAAAAAGTGTAAAAAACGTTTTAAAAAGTAAAAAAAATACAGTAAAAAATCCTCATTACCACTACACTACCACTACATAGTAGTGAAACAATGATCCCATGCTAAGGTTCAAAATATGCCTTTTGAATTACCCCGGGGTGTATTCTTTAATAAATAGTATGTGTTTGTGGGGAAGTTTGAATAACCAGCCAGCTAAACTACTCCAAAATGGAACATGGACACAGGGTAAAACTTCAAAGGTAGAAAAAAATTTGAATGGCTGTGTCTCAAATGTGCCCCATCAACATCCACATATACCTGGCAAAGGAACATACGGGGGTATTGCTGTACTCAGACAACATAGCTGAGCAGCATATGAAGTAATATACAGTCGTAGCACGCATAAGGTTTGCAGAATATACTGTGCAAACTCACTTTGTGTGTCAAAAAGGTAGAAAAATGCTTATTACCACTACACTTGGTACAAGCTAGTGAAAAAATGATCCCATGCTAAGGTTCGAAAAATGCCTTTTAAAATACCCTGGGATGTCTTCTTTAAGAAATGGTATGCCTTTATGGTGTAGTTGGATTATATAGCTTGCTCAAATACTCTGAAATGGGACATGGACGCATCAAAACCCTCCACTTGTCACGTCTCTTTTACAGCACTGTAACTTCACAAACTAGTATCTAGGTCAAGCATGTCAAACTCAAAGTCTGGCAAGGGCCAAATAAACAAGGTCTAAGTTTCTGTGGCTGCAAAAAAAACAAACCAAAATTTTCATTGAAACATAGGTTTATTTTGAAAAGTACAATATAAAAAAAAAACAGCATCGCACTTTACTAAACTACAGCACCACCCATATACTAAATCCCAGTCCCCCCTCTAGTAAATCCCAGCACCCCCCTCTAGCCAACAAGCAGACTCCACTCACATTGCCGCTGCCAGTAAGCCCGGCTTCTGGTATATCCCAAATGGTGCCGTCCACCATGTGAAAAAGTGGATCCTCCCGCCACTTCTTGACGCCCTGTGAAGATGGAGCACGTCAACGTCACGTTCGAATGTGACGTGTCGTTGCATGCCTCCGTGCACCTCCAGGTGCTCCACTGTCCAGCCGCGACCATTGCAACACTGACAGACACACTCACTCACAGTCACACACACACTCACTGACAGACACACTGACTCACACACTCACTGACACAGACACTTACTGACAGACACACACATACTGACACACACACACTCACAGACACACACACACAGATTGACACACACACACTCAGAGACACATGCACTTACAAGCAGACACACATACTCACTGACACACAGACAGACACACACAGACATACTCACTGACAGACACACTCACTGAAACACAGACAGACACACACACTCACTCACTCACTGACACACTGACAGACACACACTTACACATTCTTGCACACACTCACATTATTGTAATTATTCCTGGGGTCCAGTGGGGATCTTCTGCCTGGAGATCTCCTTCCTGCTCCTCACTGCTCCCTCACACGCAGTTTAGTGATGCCGGGCACTGGAATATGATGTAATTTCCAGGCGTCGGGCATCACTACAGACAGCGCACACAAGGGAGCAGTGAGGAGCAGGAACAGTGAACTCCCTCGCTGCATCCACCGTCCTCTCCTCCCCGGCCGGGTAAATTATAGCAGAGTAGGCACCTGCAATGTGGGAAAAGCAGGTGCCATACTCTGCATGGAACACCAGGCAATTAGTCATGTACTCGCGGCTCGCCGGGCCGCAAAGCTGTTCATTGTAGGCTGCATGCAGCCCGCGGGATGTGAGTTTGACATGCTTGATCTAGGTCATACATTGGGCATATTGTTTTACTCAGAAGATATAACTGAGCATAATTTGGGGGTTTTATGACAGTGGTATATATGAAGTGTAAGAAATACTCATCAAAAATGCAAGATATATGTAAAAATTCAATTTTTTTCCCCCGTCACCACAAACATTGCCAGAAATTGGTTAACAAATGGTGACAAGTTAAGGCACAATATACACCATAAAGATAACCTGGGTGTCTGCTTTATCAAATGAAAACCCTCTGTGGGGTTATTTGAACAGTCACACTGCTATAATACCCTAAAATGAGACATAGGCCCGTCAGATCCATCTACGAAAATTCTAACTATAGAATCTGAAATGTATTGAGATGATTGATGTAGAAAATAATGCTGATCAATTAGAAGTAGAATAATTCCATGAACATTGTAAATAATTATAAGATTTATTTAAATGATATTACCACTCTACTATGGAAACTTTTTTGACGTATTTTTCTCTTCCCTCCCCTATTTTGCTGCTATGTTGTCTTTGTATTGTAAATTTGTATGATATATGTATTTGTATGATATATGTACTTAATAAGGATAAAAAAATAATAATAAAATAAAGATTAAATATTCAAAAAAAAAAAGAATCTGAAATAGCCTTGTAGCTATACAGAATAGTGCCAAAGGCATACAATGGGGGTAATGTTTATACTCAGCAGATGTAGCTGAACACAATGTGGGGTTCTGTGCAGGAATAGCACACACCAGCTTTACGAAATAAACATTACAAAAACCTTGTGTATATGCCAAAATAGAGAAAAACACAGTTTTACTCCAATATTTAGCAGAGATTGGCAATGAAATGGTTACGTAAAAAGTGTCATACTAACCTTAAGTAAATAGCCTGTGATGTCTACTTTATATAAATATATACTTTTGTGTGGAATTTTTTTTTCTGTGATGGCTACTAAACCTACAAGACAAACATACCAACTTCTAAAATTGATTTTATATTAACATTTCATTTTAGTCCTTGTATTTAGTGAATAAAATAAGCTGAAATCCCATACATATTATGTACTCTTTAAATCAAGACCCATAAATTATTTATTCAAAATTATTATTTTCAATTACTTTTTCTAAGCTGGACATATAATGCACATGCGATTATTGCCCAAACTGTGAAAAAAATATATTTTTGTGGTTTTTTTTTCCCATTTTTTTTTTTTTATAATTAATGAGAATTTATCTATGTATATGTGACATAAAATTAAAGCCCTATTTGCCCACTGAAAAACAGTATATAATATGTGTTGGTGCAATAAATGACAGAGATGCAAATTGCGTTTGAACCCAAACAGCAAAAAATGCAAAAATAGCTTGTGTTCTTAAGGGTAAGACAAGCTTTTGAAGCTGTGTCTTTAAGGGGTTAAGTAATTTTATTGACTGCAATTTGAGGGACTTGTCTGACAACCCATGCCGAAAGTCCAGAGAATTTAATTTGCTAGCACTGTATCTAACCCTGTAACTTTCTATGACACACTAAAACCTGTACATGGGGGGTACTCTGGAGGCTTCGCTGAACACAAATATTAGTGTTTCAAAACCGTAAAACATATCACAGTGATGATATTTTCAGTGAAAGTGATGTTTTTTTGCATTTTTCACACACAAACAGCATTTTCACTGATGATATAATTGTTGTGATACGTTTTACTGTTTTGAAACACTAATATTTGTTTTCAGCGAAGTCTCTGGAGTATAACAGTGCCCCCCATGTACAGGTTTTTATAGTGTTTTTGAAAGTTACAGGGTCAAATTTTTTCACATTGAAAATTGCCAGGTTAGTTATCTTGCCTTTGAGAGTGTATGGTAGCCCAGGAATGAGAATTACCCCCATGATGGCATACCATTTGCAAAAGAAGGCAACTACTAAAAAAGACTGGACATACCCCATATTGAAAACCCTGGGTTGTCTGCTTTAAAAAATATGTACATGTGAGGTGTGATTCAGAGATTTATGACAGATAACAGTGTTACAATGTCACTATTGATACATTTAAAAATATATATATTTTGAAACAGCAATATACTACTTGTATTTATTGCCCTATAGCGTGCAAAAAAAAATGCATAAAAGCACGTAAACACTCGGTGTTTTTAAACTCAGGACAACAAAAGATTTTTCAAGTAAAAGAACATGTTTTTATTTCAATTTTGCACCATATTTTATTATTTTAAAAAAAAGTTAATTATATGACCAAAAAACAATAGTGATATGTAAAGAAAGCCCTTCTTGTCCTTTAAAAAAACAATATATAATTTGTATGAGAACAGTAAACGAGAGAGTAAAATCACAGCTAAAGACAAACACCACATTAAGAACCAGAGCAAAAACTGCTCTGGTTCTTAATGTACAACATGGCCAAAACAGCCTGGCCCTGAAGCGGTTAAGGCAATGATTATACTCACCAGAGCAACTACATCATGCTCTAGTTGTTCTGGTGACTATAGTGTCCGTTTAATAAACAGACAGAAAAACGCCTGCAGTCAATCTGAAAATGTATTTTACAATCCACTTAAAAGCAATGCAAAGAAGGAGCAGCAGACAAGCAGAAATCAACTTAAAACAAGAGTGTGGTTCCATCTTACACTGATGTCCATGACACCTTCCTCCTCTCTCACTTGCTGGCTCCGGTCCTGTTAGCATCACATTTATCACATTCAATTCTTCTGTGAGTTATGCAAATGTTCAAATTGACTGCTATTGTTTTCTGTCCGTTTATTAAAGTTGAAAGTGGAAGTCCGGATCCACCATTCTCAAGTGGTTGATCCTCCCACAGTTTGAGTGGCAATCAGCCATTCATCTTTTTTGAGTTGATCTCCTAAGGCTTTATATTAAGGGGAAGATTGACTTAATTGTGTTTAAGTTAGTATGCGCTATGTATGTGATTCTTTTATGCGACCGATGGGGAAAAGTACAAATACCTGTATAAGTACTTATGTTGAAGAGTAGACAAAAGCCATGGAAGTATATTTTGCTCAACATATATTTTATTATTGGTTTTCCATTACTGTGGTTGGTGTTTGCACTATTTATGGTTGCTGCATTAAAAGTATTGATTGCCCTATTTCTTACACATTAATCTGGTTGTTTCAAGCATTTAATTGAGAAATAATTGTACATGCATTTTTTAGCTTATTAACACTTTATTTAGCACGTGTATTAAATAGCATTTTCTCAAATAACACAAGTGCAGTTTATAATTACCACCTATGCATGTCACCCGTTGTACACATATTAAAATCCAAAAAGCTGCAAAACATGTATTTTCTTTTTACAAAGTAATTCAGATGAACTGCTATAAAATACTAAAAATGCCTTAGATATATGTTTGTTCTTCTTGGAAAATGCTCTTATATATGATTAATTACTATCTTTAGCACTCTATTCAGGTACTGTGCATTTTTATTTATGCAATGTAGTTGATCATGTATTTTTCTATTAAATCTTAGAATCCTCCAGGACTGCCCAGTATTGCCGTTACTCGTCTGTTTTGCTTCCTGAAAAAGAGCCAACTAATAATTGACTGGCACAACTATGGATATTCAATTTTGAGTCTTACAAATGGACCAGAGAGCCCAGTTGTGCACATTGCAAAGTGGTTTGTATACTTTGAGCTGTTATTTCGATACTGGAAATTATATAGAATTGTAATGTTTTTTGTATTTTTATTCTTCTTGTTAGATAGTATTATTATTTTCGTGCTTCATGCACAAAAATGCCCCTATGACTATGTTTTTATTGAATCCGCCTTTATTCGTTTATTAATGTTTGAAATAAGTCGTAATATTAGTACAATTATTTTTTTTTTGGTACTGAACTAATGTCCAGTGTTATGTCCAACACTCTAAAAAAACATCATCGACTTTGTAATTTATGTTACATGTTCATGTGATGATATACCCTGGCTCAGGTTACACCTACTAATAGTGTACAGGTCACCACAGGGATGTCGTGTTGTCCATATTGTAGAACATTTACCACATAACTTGAAAGATAGACTGCTAACTAGATACGTATGCTTGTAGTTTTGGATTGGAAATGGTAATCATTAAACCTTTCTTTTCCATGGATTGGGTCATCATGTGTTTTAATACTGTTTATTACTAACCTGGGTAGTGCCTGGCACCTGTAGCAGTAGCCTCTGCTTCTGTTCTCTTCATTTAAGAGAGTCCAGTTAGCTTTAATGAGCTAAGCAGGTCTACCCATGACAACAGTGATTGTTGGCTCAGCCATAGAGAGCAGTCCTGTATTGTCCCGGCTTTACTCTGCAGTAACTTGCCGTTCTCCTGGAAACAGGGAAGACCAGATTCAGCATGGGCATCTGGGGTACAAGGTAAGATGTCAAACCATAAAAAATGTATTTGCCTTTTTTGGGATGGTGCCGGCTGTAGTGGTTATGCTGCTTGGAGAGTTCCTTTAAAGCTAAAGTATTTGCTAAAATATTTTAGGGATTAACAGAATTTCCCCTCTTTTACTCATTATAAAGAGAAATATGCACTTTTATAAAAGTGCTAGGTAATACAAATCTAGATGGAGTTTATTATTATTATTATTATTTTATTATTATTTTATTATTTATATAGCGCTAACAAATTCCGTATCGCTGTACAATGGGTGGACTAACAGACACATAATTGAGATCAGACCACTGGACGTATAGGAACAGAGGGGGTTGAGGGCCCTGCTCAATGAGCTTACATGCTAGAGGGAGTGGGGTATAGTGACACAAAGGGTTAAAGTAGGGGAATTAAATAGTTTGTTAGTGAAGGGTTTATTGAGTGCTTGGTAGGTCATTTTTGACAGTTGCAGGAAAGGAGTCATGGGGTGGGGGATGAGAAACCTGCTGACAGTTTAATTGATACACTTTAATGAAGAAGTTAGTTTTCAAAGATTTTTTGAAGGAGTGGAGGCTGGGTGAAAGTCTGATTGAGGCGGGAAGGGAGTTCCACAGAATAGGTGCAGCCCTGGAGAAGTCTTGAAGGCGAGCATCAGAGGTGGGGATCCGGGCAGAGGATAGGCGTAGGTCTTGGGCTGAGCGCAGGGGTCTCGACGGGACATACTTGTGTATGAGGGAGGATAGGTATGTTGGAGCAGCATTATATAGGGATTTGTAAGCAAGCGCCAGAATTTTGAATTGGGCCCTATATCTAACTGGAAGCCAATGCAGGGACTGACAGAGCGTGGAGGCGTGGGAGGAGCGACCGGACAGGAAAATAAGCCTTGCAGCCGCATTCATTATAGATTGCAGCGGTGCAAGCTGGGAACATGTAAGACCGGTGAGAAGGGGATTGCAATAGTCAAGGTGAGAGAACAACAGCATGAACCAGTACCTTAGCTGTGTCCGGTGTTAGATATGGGCAGATGCGCGCTATGTTCTTGAGTTGGAAGCGACAGGATTTGGCTATCGATTGGACATGAGGAGTAAAAGAGAGGTCAGAATCAAAAGAACCCCTAGGCAGCAAGCCTGTGAGGTAGAGGTGATAGTAGCGCCGTTGACTTGGATGGAGACAGACACAGGAGTAGCAGCACTTGAGGGAGGAAAAACTAGAAGTTCTGTTTTGGACAGGTTGAGTTTAAGGAAGTGAGCAGCCATCCAGTTGGAAATAGCAGAAAGGCAGTCAGAAACACGAGTCAAGGTGGGCGGAGAGAGATCAGGGGAGGACAGGTAGATTTGCGTGTCATCTGCATATAAATGATATTGGAAGCCAAAGGAGCTGATGAGTTTACCAAGGGAAGCAGTATAGATACTGAACAGTAGGGGGGCGAGGACAGAACCTTGGGGGACGCCGACAGAGAGGGGTAGGGGAGAAGAGGCAGAGCCAGAGAAAGAAACATTACAGTATAAAATCAATGCTTTTATTTGTAACTTAGGAGTGTTTCTATAATACATGCCTTGATTACATTCCTACTGATAACATTTATTGACTCCTTTTATCTGTTCGAATTTATTACCGTTAAAGGCTTATCAAGAGGCAATAAATATTGCTTCAAATAATATTGATTTTGGAAAACTATTGAAAATAAATATTATACTTAGCCTTGAAAATATTAGATTTTGGGTGCATGGTCTGACTGCAGACCTGAATGGCTGCATAGTCTAAGAGTTCCTGCAAAATTTCATAAGAAACAGCACTAGCCATAAGCATACGGTGATCAAGCCGCAAGCCACAAAAGAAAAACACAGCTAACAGACACACTATGGCAGAGATGTTTGCCGTCTTGTGTGCCTCACAGGCCTCCTAACATGATGGCCGATTTGAGCCTGCATGGCTCATCATCCAGCAAAGTGGAATCGTCAGAGACTCATAGAGGAGAGACAAGCCAGATTCTCCATCAGTTGACTGAAGTCAATTGAGTCACCATAGTCCGCTTCCATTATTACATCACCAAGGAGGCTATAATGAAGTACGGCTGGGAAGGTTACATCCGATACCAAGGTAAACAAATTTTTATTTTCCAAGAACTCTCGCCCACGACTCTGCAACATCTCAGGGCTCATTCCGTTTCACACGAGGCCAACCATTCAAAATAGCAGCTTTCAAAGATGGCTCATCCTGGGAGACAATCCTTGCAACATTCTTGAGGGCCTTAGAGTAGCGATCATGGAGGGCCTCAATCTACCGTGTCAAGAGGCATCAATGCTATCATTCCTCCCTTGTTATGAGGTCAGAAACGGATTTGCAAGCCCGACATGAAGTGACATTTTCTGACACCACAAGGATCATTCCAGAGGTTCTGTAACCGACTCAATGGACAATTGTGCTCGCACTGGGAATCAAGAAAGGTTCACTTACCCTTCCAGATTACTGTACCCACTCTGGTTTAACTTCTCACCCCACAGGCCTGAATGGTCCAGTGTTTGGTACCATGGGCTGTGGTGGTGTGACTTGGCGGACCAGCGAACTACCCAGCACTTCACACTGATAGCTTGAGGACTCTGGGTTAACCAAAACCCAACATTGGCCACAAGAAGTCAGATTTAGATTTTTTGATTTAAGTTAACAGTATACAGTTGCCGCGGTAATCTCATAATCCGAACTGAATTAAGTACTGCCTCCTGAACTCCTGATCGGGAGGCGAATGCTATTCAGCATTTTGATAAGTAGAGGACACTCGCAGTGCCCCTCTATTTATAATAAAATAACGCCTAGTGTAATTTCCTATATGGGAAGTGCCACATCATCCCTGTGACCCCATTCAAGCACTTTTTGGGGTTGCAGGGGTGCCATAACGTTTTAGCGCCATGTGTAATTGCCCTGGCATGGTTTCCTCTTTGGTTTGTTATACGGACTCTTCTAACTTCTGTAATCCTGACTTGACTAGTTATATTGTATTTACATATTTCTGGTACAGTGAAAATTAGAAGTGTATACAATATAAACAATGGGAATAAGTGTGGTAGCTAAAGTGCTACAAACCAGTGGGAAACCCCTCACACCACTCAATATAACATAAATAAATACATACAATAGATGGTAAATCACACTTCTGGATATGTCTGTAAAATATATATATAACACACACAATAGTGTAATACAGTTTGTATGACTAGGCAGTGTAGAGTTTTCAAATGAGGTACTCACAAGCGTGGAGCCAATAATATGTGGCTCTCACTGTTGTCGCCTTGGGACGTTTTTAGAAGGATGTCCCTCTCCTAACTGGATCACTGGTCTCACTTGGTTTTCAGAGGGTTCCAAGATGAATGGGTGTTCCCAGCGTTTCCCAGAAAAATAAAGCCTTTCAATAGGGAGTGTTTTGTGTGGCATAAATAGCCAACAAATTTATTCAGAAAAATACTGATAAAAATACAATATAAAATGGTAAAAACGCTAAATTAAAAAAACAACACATAAATTAATATAAAGAACTTATAGCTATAACTGCTATATAGGAGTTCAACCAAATGGTTAATGGGTATTCCGAAACGCGTTTCGCCCCTGTCTGGTGATTTTTCAATCGGTAAAGTCCGTTCGCCTCTCTGCCGGCTTTTTTTCAAATTTTTTCAAATTTCATCCTTTTGCTTCCGGGTTCCGGCCGATTCCGTTGTGGAACGCACTATGCGTTCCAAATCACTTCCGGGTTAGGGATTTCTTTCGTTTGGAACGCAACATTGCGTTCCACTCCGTCCTCTGTGTTCCTTCCTGGTTTTGGGTGCTGATTATTCACAACGCCTCATGCGTTTCACCACATGAGGATCAGTCCCTTTTTGTAATACAAAGAAAACAGTCTCTCCATGATATCAAATATATAAACAATTCATTTTTGCAATGCATCCCCAAGGAATAGTGCACTCTTTTTCTGTTCCATTAGAGTATAAAAAAAGTGATTAAATAATTACAATAATAAATAACCAATGAAATATGTAAAATAGGTATATTAATACGATGTAACTAATAGATAAATACAATTAATATGAGGATTTGGATATCTCTAGTTATATAACAGTCTTTGATGGTAAATGCTTCTCAAATCATCCATTTATTAAGAAAAGCAATAAAATCAACTTACTAATATTCATTTAAAGAGACTTTGATTCTCAACCCTTACAATATGGAAGAACTCATAAAAGCATGCAGTAAAAAACACATTTTCATGCATCTAAAAAAAGTGACACACCTCAAAGTCTGAATTTAATCCGTGGGGTGCAAGAGTGTTAAAATTATATGTAAATGTCATCTCTTCTATCCCTATTTTTTGATTAAAATCGCCCCCTCTCCAATCTCTTTTGACTATTTTCAGCGGACAGAAGAACAAATTATTAGGGTTTTGATTATGATGTCTCTTAAAGTGATTAGATACACTGTGTGTTTCTACTCCGTTTTTTATATTTCGTTTGTGTTCTGAAATTCTTGTGTGCAGGCATCTTATAGTTCTCACTATGTATAATAAGTTGCAGGGACATTTTAATACATAGATCACTCCCTTTGAGAAACAAGTTAATTGATCCCTAATATTAAAATCCTTATTAATGTGCTCTTTTAAGTTGATTAAGTGTCTTTTTGTACTTTTAGTGCTCCTGCATGCCAAACATGCTCCGCATCCATAAAAACCTTTATTTTGGTCTAAAAAGTGTGTACTCGTGGTTAGACCTTCACTGCCGCGGACCAAGGTTCTTTTGAAATTTCAAAAGAACCTTGGACCTTCACTGCTGCGGACCAAGGTTCTTTTGAAATTTCAAAAGAACCTTGGTCCGCAGCAGTGAAGGTCTAACCACGAGTACACACTTTTTAAGGGCTCCTAATAATTAGTTTCTGTATATTTATTCCTGACCTATACATGTACGTATATAGTTAACTTGGGTTTTTTATGTTTCTAACTATGCTACGAATAGGGCAGAAAATGTGTGTGGGGACTGAGGGTACTGTTTATGTAGCCATGAGCACCACCTCACATTTAGAGTGGCATGCTGTAGGGGGAATATATGAAATGCTTCCAAATCAGTGATTTAATGTTCCCCATTTGTGAACAGGACTCTAAAGCACAAAACATATACATTATGACAGCTAACTGCAATTGAGGCACTCAGGATGCCACAACAATACATTCATACGAGATACTAGACCAAATTCTTATTAGATTTCTTCCTGCGATCTTACGAATCAGACTACCTCACATTATATAAAGCCCTATAGTAGGCACCCCTTAGTGCTCATTATCTGTGACAGTAGATAACAACACTGAGTTCATAAAATCAGAAGTGTTCCACACAACCCACAGATGACCTGGAAGGGAGAACACCAAAACACGTGACAGTGGTTGAAGTTACTACTATGGAACCAGCAATGGTCTCTAGGTACCATTGTCCTGCAAACCTATAGGTGCAATGCCAGTTCAAAAATATAGATATCTGCCAAGGTTACTTGTGTTTTTAAATGTTCGTTCACCAAATTTACATCACACCTTGACAACTAGTGTAGATGGGCAAGTGGCTATCCCTTCTCTACTCAGTGGATTCTAGTTATGCAGTGAGAGGAGGACATGCCACTCTGGCAATGTGTAAGACCAGATTGTACTATTCAGATAATGTTTTAGTTTTTTTTTTTTTTTTTTTTTTGATTGTAATGCCAAGGGGAAAGGGCAGACTCACACACCAAACTGTCCCACTCCAAGAGATATGTGAACTCATAATAAGTGAAGTGCTAGAATACAACCATGAGACCTATAGATCATAGACCTACCTATAGCACAATGTACCTATGTCATTCTAAATGGCCCTAAATGTTATCCCATTAAATGTTAAGTGGCTCAAAACCCCAAACAAAAGAAAACATCTGCTTAGAGAGCTTAAAAATTAAAAATTCAAGAGATGCACCTGCCCAGGCACTGCACCACGGTACAGGAGTTGCTATCCTTATACACAAACTCTTCCCACTGCAGATCAGAAATGGTCAGACTAACCAAGCTGGTAGATACAAACTCATCATCGGTACACTTTATAACACAACGTACCTCTTTCTTAATGTTTATCCCTCAAACAACCCTGACCAAGGATACTGGGATTCCCTGGAGACAATACTCCACACACTATACACTATCAAATGGAGTAGTACTGGTGGGGAGCAATTTCAATGATGTTCCATATTCAGCAGTTGACAGGAGTTCCCGACCAGGGATGATGTGGTCGCATGGGATGGGAAGACAAGACACGCTTGTATATTGATTTATCCGATGTACAGGCGTTCTGAATGCATGGCGATTCCAACATGCTGATACCCTTGATTACTCATTCTACTCTGCACCACACTCCACATATTAAATAATGTAATGATATGTATTTGCAAATGTGTTTTTTGTTTCTTTTTATTTTATTTTTTTAATACCATTTTATTTGTCACAGGTATGAGCACATTTTTGGAAGATTTTCAAAGTATAATTTTTGTGTGACAAATGCAATGAAGGAGGACTTGCTGGTCAACTGGAGAATTAAGTAAGAAAGTCACAAGTTAAATTTTTATGGTTTGAGTATAAAATAAATACATTTTCTTGATAACAAAAAACAATTAAAGAGATTTGTATCTAGCAAGAATTGTCCATAATGTGCTATAGCAGGAGTGTAATAATGGATTCCTGCCTTACTAACTGTCAGGTAACCTTCTATAGAAAAAAAGAGATTTATTGCAATATTAAAGGAACAATATATGCACCACAACAACATTTAGCTTAATTAAGCAGGTTTGGTGTATAGATCATGCCCTGCTGTCTCACTACTCAATTATCTGCCATTTAGGAACGGCTAGGGCTTATTTTCAGCATAACCCAAAAAATAAGCTAGGACTTATTTTCGTGGGATGTCTTTTTGTCGGGGTAACACTGTATACGTAAACATTATATTAGAAATAATGGGGAATTACAGCTTCCCTTTAAGATATAGTGATTTTTGTGCTTGGAGTTTCCTTTTAGACATATCAGATTGCCAAATGAATTCATGTATGTCATGGCATATGAGGAAACTCTATGCAAAAACATGCTTTCATTTAAAAACTCGCAAACACAGCTCACAAATAATACCCTGCAGGGATGGGTAAGTGGTAGATCTCCAGCTGGCATAGCATTGTGAGAGTTGTACGATGGCTGGGGATCTACCATTTGGCCACCCTTGTGCTAGAGAGGGGCCCAAAGCAATTGATATTAATTCTGCCACTGGTCAGACCAACACTTTGAACTTTCACTATAGCAAACATTTTTTTTTCCAGTTTTTAAATGATATAGGATACACCTATACCTACAGTTGCGCGGTAAAGTGAAATAAACAATAAAAAAGGGGTAACTTATCCCGTGTGCATATGAGTATGTACAGAAGATGATATCCTTCACATACAAAGAAAAAAACAGTATACAGTGCAAATGGCAATGAACAACATTGGTGTATTTTTCTTTAAAATTAGTTCACTCACATGTAATGGAGCCTATATATATTGGGCTGGTATGCTCTTAGGGCAGCATCACACCACTTCCTTATAAGGATATTACCTCCGGTGGAGAGAAAAAAAGCATCCAATGGGTAGTATAGCTAATAAAAAAACTCTAAAATATGACTATTTTGCTCACCTTTTTAAAGAGCCTTAAAATCCCGGCTCTAAGGTATACAGGTATGATGCCATTATAGAGGGGGTGACACTTCCCCAATAAAGACTCACAAGGCTTCAAAAGGACTCTTACAAATACTAGTATATTTATTAACAAAAATATATATATGTATATATAAAAAAAAAAGTATAAAAACATAAATTACTGTCTACAAATGTATAAAATAGGTCCTTGTAGCAGCCAAAACAGGTTTCACTCCTTTCCTGAGCTTCTTCAGTCAGCTGTGAATCAGTCTCAGAGAATCTTCCTTATTATGTGTGTTATGGAACTTCCTCTTGGGTCCCATGTGGAGTTGAACCGACCAATCAAAATGAATTTTGGCTCCCAGCCCATTTAATTATGTATGTTCCGTGGTTGACGGAAGTGGCACCGCGGAATCTTTTTTTCAGTAGTAACACTGCTGAAAGTACTGCAGATGAGTGGATCAAGAAACAGTGATCACCATTTTCTTATTCTGGCCAAGCATCGCCCAAATATAAAATGAATCTATTTATATTTTTGTAATTGTAGGTGTTTCTAAAACAGCTTGCAAAAACTGCAGATTACCTTATCTGAAGCTTTAGCAAGCTCTCCACTTTGAACCCAGCCCACATTTTCTGTGACTGTCCAATTACAAACCTCAGAATGCAGCTCAATGAGAAAGCGTTGCAAGGCAGGTGCAATTGCCTGCTTCTTGAGTTTAGCTCCACTGAGCTAAACTACTAAGAAATAACTGGGTCAGTTGTCTGATTGACAGTCAGGGGGTTAACTTTTAAAAAGCAAGCAGTGATGGAATATAAAAAATAAACAAACAATACAGTACTATCACCACAAATACGTGAAGAATAGTATTCAATATACTTATCTAAACAAGTCAAGTAGGCAGCCTCCCTAAGATCACCTCCCAGGTGGTGATCCTATTAGACCAGAATATAAGCAACAAACATATGGGAAACAGCTGTGATTCTAAAAAAGAACATAAACTTAACATAGTGTTATTAAGTTTAAACAATGAAATGTGCTCTGTAAATGGTTGCACTCATAAGATGTAGACGTATAAAACACTCAATGGGTGCTTCACCTGATGTAGTGGAGGGCTCTGAATCCCTTCTCCTTAGTCTGCAAATGTAGCAGGAGAACAGGACTCCAGATGAGAATGTATAGAAAAATGGCTATTTCATTGTATAAAAATGGTGAAAAAACACCAGAATAAATGCTATTACAACAGCAATTACTATTGAATCACAGCCGTTTCCCATATGTTTGTTGCTTATATAGTGATGGAATATGTCCTGTAACGCCATACTTTTGTGCTTAGAAATATGCACAGAAGTGACATTAGCCAGCTTGGATTTCTTGTCCTGTATGCAAAATGGGTAAACTCTGTATGTGCTGCTTTTCTTAGCAAAATACACACATAGAGACTCCAAGCACCATGACCACTTCAAAATACTGAATTTGTCATGGTGCTTTGAGTAATCCTATAAGTGCATCGCCTCGGTTTATAATTTTAAATGATTATTCAAAAAAATATAGTTGAATTTGTCAGGAACTGACTTATTTTACACCACAGCTATTCATACTGATTACATTATTCAAGCTTTACCCAGATATTATCTTTTAATATTAATAAATCTCCCTCTGCAAATTTTAGTTGATAGGTTTAAAATATTCAGGGTTTAACAAATAAACAATATAAATAAATATATAATATGTATCCTAAACTTGGAGATGGTATTAACTTTCTATAAGCACCACTGTAGTTTTTGCACATGCACCCTAAATCTCTATGAGAATCATTAGAATCCCTACAAAATCAGCAGTACCAGAGGTAGAGAAGAGGTTCGTCGAGGAGACCCTTTTGCCACTGGATTAGAACTGCTTTATTTTTAGTCCAGTGAGTGGTGGGGAGCGTGAGTAAGTATACTAAAGGGTCCATCAAACACTCCATTATAAATAAATGTACTTGTGTAAAGTGCTGGAGTGTTCTTTTAAAATGGCATTAGCTTGAACTCAGGAGTTACATAGTTACATAGCTGAAAAAAGATTTGCATCCATCAAGTTCAGCCTTCCTCACATATGTTTTTGCTGTTGATCCAAAAGAAGGCAAAAAACCTAGTCTTAAGCGCTTCCAATTTTGCAACAAACTAGGGAAAAATTCCTTCTTGGCCCCAAAATAGCAGTCAGATGTCTCCTTGGATCAAGCAGCTAATTAGAAATTATATCCCTGTATGTTATGTTTTTGCAAGTATTTATCCAATTGCAGTTTAAACATCTTTATGGACTCTGATAAAACCACCTCTTCGGGCAGAGAATTCCATATACTTATTGCTCTTACTGTAAAAAAAAAAAAACCTTTTCTTTAGCTTAGATGAAATCTCCTTTCTTCCAGCCTAAATGTGTGACCTCGTGCCCTATGTATAGCCCTGTTTATGAATAGATTTCCAGATAATGGTTTGTACTGGCCCCGAATATATTTGTATATTGTGATCATATCCCCTCTGAGGCGCCGTTTTTCCAAACTAAAGAGTTTTAAAATTTTTAACCTTTCTTCGTAACTAAAATGCTCCATTCCTTTTATCAATTTTGTAGCTTGTCTCTAATTTTGTAGCACTTTTTCTAGTGCCATGATATCCTTCTTTAGAACAGGTGCCCAAAATTTAAGGTGTGGTCTTACCAGCGATTTATAAAGAAGCAAAATTATATTTTCATCCCGAGAATTTATGCCCCTATTTATACATGACAAAACCTTACTGGCCTTTGCAACTGCAGATTTACATTGCATATTGCTGCCTAATTTGTTGTCTATATCAATTCCCAAATCCTTCTCCCTCATTCACTACCATTTACGGTGTAAGTTGCTTGTGCATTCTTGACCCCAAAGCGCATAACTTTGCATTTCTGTACGTTAAATTTCATCTGCCATTTTAGTGCCCAGTCCCCCAATCTATCCAAATCCCTCTGCAGCAAAGCAATATCCTGCTCACATGTTATTACTTTACAAAGTTTTGTGTCATCTGCAAACACTGAAATATGGCTTTCAATGCCTAGTTCAAGATCATTTAAATATGTTAAATAGAAGTGGTCCCAAAACAGAACCCTGAGGGACACCACTTACCACTTTTGTCCAGCCTGACAATGGCAACTCGTACTCAATTCTGAAGCCAATGTTCTACCCAAGAACAAAAATAATCATCTAGACCAGTGGTTCTCAACCTTTTTTCACTTGAGTACCCCTTGGCAGCCCATTTCCATAAATTGTACCCCTCACATTAGCAAAATGTTGTAATTAATAAAGTTGCTTTATTTCAAAGTTATACATTTTTCTCTTTTCAATCACCCCCTTTTCTCTGCCCTAGGCTCCCCCCTGCTTTTCCTCCGCCCCATGCTCTCCCTGCTTCTCCTCCGCCCCATGCTCTCCCTGCTTCTTCTTCGTCTCACACTCTCCCAGCTTCTTCTCAGCCTTAGACACACAAACTGTCACACATGCAGACACACAAAAACCAACACTGACACACATATAGATACAGATACACAGACACACCCGCAGATAGGCACACTGAAACACATACAGATGCACAGACACACAGATACAATGATACACAAACATACAGATACAAACACTGACACACATACACACACACAGATTGACACACATATACATATCCTGACACATAAGCAGATACAGTGAAACACAGATGTATACACTAACACACATGCAGATACATATCCTGAGACACACATATGCATACACTGACACCCATACAGACAAAGATACCCACACTGACATACATATACAAACACTGACACACAGATACAGTGACATACATGCAGATACAGGCACTGACACACATGCAGATACAGACACTGACACAGATATAGGCACTGACACACATGCAGATACATACAGGGCCGGACTGGGGATTCCAAAGCAGCCCTGGAAAAAAAATCTATGCCAGCCCCATAAGTCATTGCGCCATATATGTACAGCGCTACGGAATTTGTTGGCGCTATATAAATAATAAAATAATAATAATAAAATAATATATTGTCGCATGTAATATGCAATGCTATGTCTTGCCACCCTAGATGATTGAGATATATATATATAATTTCTTTTTCCAATATAAAATATTGGTCCTTTCAGAGTAAAATTTTTAATTATACAGTAAGCATACTCACATACAGATACAGACAATCTTACTGACACAAGCTGATTGATACACAGCCTCATAGACAGACAATCTCACTGATATACATAAGGTCATTGACATGAAAACACAAGCTCACTCAGTAGCAGGCACACACACACACACACAAGCAAGCCCACTCACTAGCAGGTGCGCACACACACACAGCTTAATGTAGTGGCTCTGGTGTCTATAGCCTGTCCCTGCAGGCTTTTCAATGTAAACACTGACTTTTTAGAGAAAAGGCAGTGTTTACATTGCTTCCTAGTGACAGACACTCAGACGGTCACTAGAGGTGCTTCCTGTGTCAGTGCGGATTGGCTGAGATCATCAAGCTTGATGATCTCAGCCGTAGAGGCAGGGCCAGTAGAGGGGAGACCAGCACGACGTGGGGGGGGAAAAGTGAGTAAACACACACCATGACAGACACACACCATGACACAGACAGACCGTGACACAGACACACACACACCGTGACACAGACAAACAGACACAACATGACAAACACACACACCATGACACAGAGACACACACATACCATGACACACATACCATGACAGACACACACCTTAAAAAAGACAGACCGTGACACAGACACACACACACTGTGACACAGACACACATTACATGACACAGACACACACACCATGACACACACACACCGTGACACAGACAGACACCATGACAAACACACACACACCATGATGCAGACAGATACACATTACATGACAGACACACACACACACAATGACACAGACACACACCATGACACAGACAGACGCACGCACCATGACAGACAGAGACACACACCATGACACAGACAAACACACACACACCATGACACACACACACCATGACACAGACAGACCCACACAATGACACAGATGAACACACCATGACAGACACACACACGCACACACCATGACACAGACAGACACACACACACACACCATGACACAGACAGACACACACACACCATGACACAGACAGACACACACCATGACACAGAAAGACACACACAATGACACAGACAGACAGACACACACACTATTACACAGACAGACATACACACACCATGACACAGGCACACACACACACCATGACACAGATGCACACACCATGACAGACAGACACACACACACCATGACACAGACACACACAATGACACACACACACACATCGTGACACAGACAGACACACACACACACACACACACCATGACACAGACAGACATACACACACCATGACACAGACAGACACATACACACACCATGACACAGACAGACACACACACCATGACACAGACAGACACACACACCATGACACAGACACACACACCATGACACAGACAAATACACCATGACAGACATACACACAAATGACACACACACACATACACTCACACTGACACACATAATTTCTACGTGTGCTGGTGGCTGCATGGGGAGCTCTGATGGTGGCCGCAGGGGGAGCTGTCTGTTCTGTCTCTGCTCCCCCGCCCCAGCGCGCCGCTTAATGAGACCGGGGCCGGAATTTGAAGTTATATTCCGGTCCCGGTCTCATTAAGCGGCGCGCTGGGGAGGGGGAGCAGAGACATAACAGCCAGCTGCCTGCCCGGCCCCAGGTTCCGACGGCCCACCGGGAAATTTCCCGGTATCCCGGTGGGCCAGTCCGGCCCTGGATACATACCCCGACACACAGATACAGATACATACTCTGACACACATGCAGATACACACACATAGATACACTTAAGGATACACACTCTGACACACAAACACATATACTGACACACAGATAATTACCCTGACACACTTAAGGATACATACCCTGACACACATGCAGATACACAGACACATACCCTGACACACATACAGACACATAGATATACACTGACACACTTAAGTATTCATTCCCTGGCACACATATACACACCCTGACACTAAGACCCTGACACACACATTCAGACGCATACCCTGACACACACATTCAGACGCATACCCTGACACACACATTCAGACGCATACCCGGACACACACATTCAGACGCATACCCGGACACACACATTCAGACGCATACCCTGACACACACATTCAGACGCATACCCTGACACACACATTCAGTCGCATACCCTGACACACACATTCAGTCGCATACCCTGACACACACATACAGATGCATACCCTGACACACATAGAGATACATATCCTGACACACAGATAAACACACTGACATTGAGAAACACACTCTGACACACATGCAGATACACACACACTCAATTACAAACATGCAGATACACACATACCCTGACACTAAGATACATACCCTGACATATATGCAGATACAGTGAAACACAGATACATCCACTGCCACACATGCAGATACACAGATACAGTCACTGACACACACAATGACACACAAATGCATAGAGCAACACACTGACACACTTGCAGTTACAGACATCCATGCAGATACACAGACACATGCAAATACAGACACATACACTGACACAGATATACACATTGACAAACATGCAGATACACAGACACATACACTGACACACTTAAGGATTCATACCCTGGCACATATGCAGATACGGTGAAACACAGATACGTACAGTGACACACATGCAGATACACAGATACAGACACTGACACACACAATGACACACATACAGACAAAGATACCCACAGTGACAGATATGGACACTGACGCACAGATACAGTGAGACACACATGCAGATACAGACATACTGTTACATACCCTGACCCACAGATACACCTACTAATACATACCCTCACACAGATACATACACACACAGATACACACCCTGACACATATGCAGATACACAGACACATAGATACATAAACTGACACAAATAAAGACGCATACCGATACATACCCTAACACACATGCAGATACAAAGAGACACATGAAGAGACACACTGACAAACATGCAGCTACACAGACACATACATAAAACACATACACTGACACACAGATACATACCCTGACACAGAGATACACACTGACACACATGCAGATACACAGAGACACACACTGACAAACATGCAGATAGACAGACACATAGATATACAAACACACAGATAAAGCACCGCGCTTACAGCAGCAGTGGCTAAGTATCCAACAGCTTAAAATACATAGTAAAAACAAAGAGAACGTTACCTTCGCTCTGGCTTAAATCCCCATGTACATTTAAACAACATGTGGCAAACCTAGCCACTTGGACAATACAAAGAGACTGGGCCTTTAAGGGTTGCCTGTATGTCTAGAGAGATATGTGCTTCATTCTGTATGTGTATGCTTTATGTATGTTCTGCATTGCCTTTAACCGAATGCAAATGGCGGTTTTGTATGGGGATTTTCTTTCGTTTCACGAACGGCACTTTGGAGGGCCATTCGTGAACCGAACGCAATACCCCCTAATAGCCCACACACTTAGAGGCGTGTGGCGCTAGTTAACCGATTGCAACAATGTTGCAATCGGTTATTAGAGGCTCTCCTGGGTGGCCGTCGTTCGACTACCGACCATGCGGCGGTCGGCCATCTTGGATCCTTTGTTCCCTCAGCGGTGCTAGGTCGTCGAACGCATGGTACTAAAAACGGCTACTCGACGGCACGAACACCGCTGAGCCTCCAGGACGTTCGGGAGTTTCGGGACATTCGGTATTTTGTTCCCTGCAAGCAATCGGTTCTTTTTATATGTTTTATCAGAAATCTGTCTTTCGTGCGGCGTTCGGTTATTTTAGCTGAGATCTGAGCGGTAATCTCACGAATGATGCGCTCAGACCCCAGCTATCTACCGAACGTCCATTCGTGTAAATCCACCATATATTCAACAAGTTATGGATTTTTGTGTGAATTGTCGGTTCTGCTGCACGAGGGGATAATCCACTTAACGGTGCATTCTGGGAAGATGATCCCTCTCGTGCAGCGGTGCCTGATGGGAGAAATATGCTGTAATGTTAGTCCCCTCTGGGAGTGCCCCTGGGGAGGGACTCAGGAAACCCCTTGCATGGGGACTTGTATAAATTGTCCAGCCGATTAAAAGGATTTCAGTTGACTCTCAGAACTGTGTTTCGTCCGGCTACTGGGAGGTTGGGGATATTGCCTTGTTGTTTCAGCGCTTGACTGTGGATTCGTTCCTGAACCAGCGGAATTCGTGGATTTATTATTGACGTTCCGCTACACAACATTTTTGTTTAAATGTACATGGGGATTTAGGCCAGAGCGCAGGTAACGTTCTCTTTGTTTTTACTAGACACATAGATATACACATACCCTGACACACATACAGATACACACACACTGACACAGATAGACATCCTGACACACAGATACACACATTGACACACAGATACATACCCTGATACACATGCAAATACACAGACATATAGATACATATCATGAAACACAGATACACACCCTGACACACAGATACATACTTGCAAATACACCAGGGCTTGACAAATTTGCTTGTAATCTAGGAGCCAGCTAAAAAAGTTAGGGGCCAGTATTTTTTTTAACTAACAAAGCTTAATTTTCAGCGACAAAAATAGAATTCTTGAAGGGACACTAGAGTCACCAGAACCACTGCAGCTTAATATAGTGGTTCTGGTGTCTATAGCTTGTCCCTTCAGGCGTTTTTTAATGTAAATACTGCCTTTTCAGAGAAAAGACGGTGTTTACAATGCTGCTTAGTAAAACCTCTAGTGGTCATCACTCAAACCACGCTCGGCATGGAGGCGCTGAATGTTCCCCATAGTAATGCATTGATTCAATACATCTCTTTGAGTAGATGCAGATTAGTGCATGCACAAAAGCCTCCCATTGCTTTCCTATGGGAAAGCATTGCTTGGCTGAGATCATCGAGATTGATTGATTATCTCAGCCATGGAAGAGGATTCAGCCACGGCGAGACCGTCACGGTGTGGGAAAACAGGTAAGTAAAATCACCTTTCTCAGAGGGGAACCGGTCACCTAAACAGACACCCACTAAGAGACAGACACAGACTCACAGACAGACATACACTTGCTCACAGACAGACACACACACACACACACAAAATCTCAGACACACAAACACACACACACATTCAGAAGTTGAATTTTTTAAAAAACATTTATTGAAACCCACACTGCCTCCCTACCTTTTGGAGAGGTGGAGTGGATAGGCTTTTCCTGGGGTCCAGTGGGGCTGCTGTTATCTCCCTGCTCTGCTCTCTGTCGCGCCCTGTTAAGTTTAGTATTCCAGGGGCCGGAATTTGCATCATATTCCGGCTCCCGGCATCTTTGCAGGGCGTGCGAGGGAGCAGAGCAGGTAGATGAGAGCTCACCTCCCCCCGGCTCTATTCCAGACAGCGCCTGCCCTCCCTCAAGACGCACATGCTCTCTCACACGGCTGGCCGGCCGCCTCCGCTCTGCCAGGTGGCTGGCTTGTCGGCCATCTCTGCTCCCCCACGGTTGGCCACCTGCATTCTCCCTTGCCTCTCCGCGCCAACATATACCAGGCACAGGACAAAATTCCTAGTCGCCATGGTGACCTGGCGCCTAGGATTTGTCGAGCAGGGGATTCACATACACACACTGACACATACAGTGACACACAGACACGTACACTGAAATAGATACACACATGGACATACGGACACATTCAGTGACACACACTGACACATACAGTGACACACAGATATATACACTGACACATGCAGTGATATTTACAGTGACACACAGACACACACATGCAGATAAACTGACACATAACCACAACACACACAAACATACAGATACAAAATCCTACCTTTTGGCTGACTGGGTCTGGTGGGAGTTGGCATCCTGCTGCTCTCCCGGTCCACTCCGCCTGACCCGCCCCTTCCTCTCCCGCGCAGCTTGCTTTGTGTGCAATCTGGGAGGAAGTAGTTGCAAGCTTTTATTTCCTCCCAGCTCTGGCTGCAGGAAACACAGGGGTCCGGTTGCACTATTAATTCGCCGCAGCGCGCGACCGGACCCCTGAAGGCACATGTGTATTGGGTGGCCCAAAGTGCATGGGCCACCCTATACACTCAGGCAGCGGTTCCCTGCCCGTCCGGCAGCCGGTACCTCCGCCATTACCCAAACATTTTTTGCATACCCCCAGTGGCACTGAATTGTACCCTTTGGGGTACGTGTACCATGGGTTGGGAACCACTGAGCTAGACCAATTTCTTTTAGTTTGAAGACTAACCTATTGTGAGGAACTGTATCAAATGCCTTGGCAAAAAAACAAGTAGATCACATCCACTGCAACACCCTGATCTATACTTCTACTCACTTCTTCATAGAATGCAATTAGGTTAGTTCGACATGACCTATATTTCATAAAACCATGCTGATTATTGCAAATAACAAGGTTCTTCCCAATCCTCCGGTACAATACCTGAAACAAAACAGTGTAATATCTATTAATCCCAAGCAGACCTTGAAATATATGTCCTGATTTTAGTTTTGATATTCATATAAAGAATATTTGCAGTCCAAATGGAAATGTAAAAAGGTAGTTAAAAAAAACATCATCTTTGTTGTGGTCCAAAAATACTAAGTATAACATGTGATAAGTAGGAAAGATAAATTAAAATATTTACTGACCAAGGGTTTGGGGAATTGATGCTTTCTTAACAGTACATTTTTTGGAATTTTATTGTTTTTACCGCCATTATGTAGTTCTCATTTAGAGTGCAATGATTCTTGTGAATGTCTGAAACTTGAAGAGGTTTTCTTGGATTACGCACCTTGCAGATGATTTTTTGGTTTTAGTTCTGGTACTTGACTGCTGAAGTAGATCTGCCTCTAAACTGATCTTGAAGAATAAACAACAAATCTTACTTTTGTCAAACAACTTTGTTGACTAATGTAACTACTATTTTTTGTTACTTTTATTTTTTTGCAGAGCTACAACACTTTATGACAAGCCACCATCTATGTTTCAAGAGACTACACTGCAACTACAGCATAAATTATTTATGAAGCTTTCTGTGGATTACCCTCAATTTAAAGCTCAGTGAGTAATGCCCACTTTCAGTACACCAACTTTATTTTAGAACACACTGTTCATTAATATATTTCATTTCAATTTTCCGAAGTGATCCTTAACAGCAAGTCTGCAGATCATAACCTATTTAGTTAGCATTACCATTGTATAATTAGTTTATCATTATGTAAATTGGGAAGAAGAAAAAAGTATTAAAAAGATGTTCTTCTAAGGATGTTACATTACTAATATAAAAGTAATAAATTATAATACTGTGGCAAAAGTAACCTCGCCACTGGGTTTTGGAGAGGCCTGCTTGCCAGCTTCTTGCCCTGTGACTATGGCCCCTGGGGTGTATTGCCTTTTAAAAACACTCTTTGTGCATATTGGGACTTGGCACAATGCCCCTTGGACTTTTAACTGGGACAGTTCAAACATGTGGTGGCGGCCATCTTAACCCCTTAAGGACAGAGATTCAGAAGCTTGTCTTTCACTTAATTACAACAGCATTTTTTGCTGTTTGTGTTCAACTGCAACTTGCATTTTACTAATTTATTGCACCAACACATATTATATATCGTTTTTTAAAGGATAGAAAGGGCTTTAATTTGATGTAACACATATATATAAATGCTTATTCATTATAAAAAAAATACAGAAATATGCAAAAAGAAAAGAAAATTTTTGTGTTTTTTTTACAGTTTTTGCAATAATAATGTGTGCATAATTAGTGCAGGTTAAGGAAAGTAATTAAAAAGAAATTAATTTAGTTGTTCTGATTTACAGAATATATAATGTGTCTGGGATTTTAAGGTTTTTTTTGGTAGTTACAGGTCACAAAGCACAAGGAGTAAAATAAACTTTTAATGTGGAGCGATTTTAGAATTTGGTATGTTTGTCTTGTAAGCTTAATAGCCATAAAAGAAAACAAAATTGCCACACAAAAGTATATATTTATATAAAGTAGACATCACAGGCTATTTACCTAAGGTTGTTTCGACACTTTCTACGTAGCCATTTCACCGCCAACCTCTGCTAAATATTGGAGTAAAGTTTTGTTTTTGGCACACAAACTTATAACAAAGAACTTCTTGTGTGTATTTTGTAAAGTTGGTGTGTGCTATTCCTGTACATAGTTTTATTTTGTGTTCAGTTACATCTGCTGAGTAAAATTACACCCCCATTGTATGTCTTTGGCACTATTTCGTGAAGCTACAGTGCCATATAGGAGACCTGTCCTTTTCAGTACTCACAGTAGAATTTTGAGAGAAGGATTTAATGAGCCTATGCTTCCATTTGGGGTACTATAACAGTGTGACTGTTCAAAAAAACCCCACAAGGCCTACCATTTGTAAAGTAGACACTCCAGGCAATCTCATAAGGTGCATATTGTGCCTTAACATGCCCACATTTTTTCACCAATAGATGCCAAAGTATGTGGTAAAAAATAATTTTGTGCGTTTTTTACATATAGATTGCATTTTTGCTGGGCATTTTGTATATTTCACATGTGCCACTAAGTTCAAACCCCCCAAATTATGTTCAGCTAAGTCTTCTAAGTAAAATGACACTCCCATTGTATGTCTTTGGCACTATTTTGTGAAGCTACAGTGCCATATAGGAGACCAAGCCATATCAGTTTTTACCGAACTTTGAATTTTGACGCTGGGCCTATGTGCAATTAACAAGCATCTTAGCAGGTTTTACATTCAAACTACCCCACAAAGGCCTACCATTTCTTAAAGTAGACACCCCAAGGTATTTCAAAAGGTATATTCTAAACCTTAGTGTAGGATAATTTTTTTGTTAGTTTGTACCAAGTCTAGTTGCAATTAGCATTTTTTCTGCCTTTTTGACACACACTTGGAGATGTTACTGTATATTTTGCTATCCTTATGTGTGCTACGGCAGTATAACACCTAATATGTTGCTCAGCTATGTCATCTTAGTGCAACAATAACCCCATGTGTACCTTTTTCAGGGTTATGTGGATGTTGAAGGGGCACATTGGAGACCAAGTCATATCAGTTTTTACCAAATTTTGAATTTTGACGCTGGGCCTATGTGCAATTTCCAAGCATCTTAGCAGGTTTTAAATTCAAACTACCCCACAAAGGCCTACCATTTCTTAAAGTAGATACCCCAGGGTATTTCAAAAGGTATATTCTAAACCTTAGTGTAGGATCATTTTTTTTGTTAGTTTGTACCAAGTCTAGCTGCAATTAGCATTTTTTCTGCCTTTTTGACACACACTTGGAGATGTTACTGTATATTTTGCTATCCTTATGTGTGCTACAGCAGTATAACACCTAATATGTTGCTCAGCTATGTCATCTTAGTACAACGATACCCCCATGTGTACCTTTCTCAGGGTTATGTGGATGTTGAAGGGGCACATTGGAGACACACCACTTCCATATTTTTCAAAAGTGGATGCTGGGCCCTAGTCTCATTTTAGCAGCTCAGGACTGCAAATTACCTCTCAAAGGCCACATATATTTTTACGCATAAGCAGCTCATCAATTCAAATTATGAACAAGTGCATACTATTTGCTGTGAAAAGGGGGAATAGTTGGGGTAAACTTATCTGGGGGTAGTACCCAGTCATATGCATCCTGGGCAAAGCTGTCATGTATTCTGAAACCAAAACACAGACAGACCACAAAGAGAGAGAACACACAGAGAGAAACATGTAATACCGGTCCTTAGAATGGCCGGGCTATACAAGCAGAGAATTGTCAAGGGACAAGCCGAGGTCAAGGATCAGAGAAGACAGGATAAACGGGAGACAAAGCCAAGATTCGGTAACCAATCAGACAGATGACTAAATATCACACCCCAAAACTGGTCTACTTATTCGGCCTGGGTGTGAAATTTTTTAAAACAGTGGCCAATACATAGGCCGGGCTAAGAGGGGCAATCAGGGCAGTAATAGCTAGTCTCAGCTCTTACGCCCCTCTTGTAACACACCCTGCACCTTTTCTGTGGGTTTTGTTTTTTAGGGGTTGGTGGAATCTTAAAGCAGAAGTGACCTGCCTCCATTCTTCTGCTAGGCTCCACTGATGGTCTCCTTGTGTGGCACTCAAGTAGCCGAGAAATGAGCTCAAACTGGAATGAAAGAAAAGTGCTTTTCAGCCCAGCATTTGCCTTTTTAAAAATGACAAAGGCATTGTGGATTGCCATCTGCATCAGATATATGACCACTTTTTTATACCATGCCCTGGTCTTTCGCATGATCAAATACGGCTGCATCAGTTGATCGGACAGGTCAACACCCCCCATATGCCGATTATATTGCCGTATGCAGACTGGAACTTGTTTACATTCCTCTCTTCCACGAACTGTGACCCTCCGAGTGTTTTCACTAAGGATGCTGGTTAAGATGAAAACATCCTTTTTATCTCTGTACTTGAGTGCCAGCAGTTCATTCTGGCAGAGAGCTGCTGTTTCCCCCCTTTTAATTTTTTTGTTCGCTAGAGCCTTTGGGAAACCTGTGCGACTCTTCCGAATAGTGCCACAGGCCACGGTCTCGAAGCAGTACAACATTTTTAACATTGGGATGCTATTATAAAAGTTATTGATGTATAAATGATAACCTGTAGCGGAGCTGCAGTATTAAATCCCAATATCTTCGCTGGTACAGAAAGTAATCCAAAGTAAAGCGCTGGAAAAGAAGGCAATATCCCAAATCCCCCAGTAACCGGATGAAACACAGTTCTGGGAGTCAACTGACAATTTTATTCACAGCTCCAGTATTTATGCAATTCCCCATGCAAGGGGTTTCCTTAATCACTTTACAGGAGTATTACAGTAGAGGACTACATGGGGAACTTAATATACAGAGCATTTCTCCCACCATGCACTGCTGTACGTGAGGGATACTCCCACTAGAATATCCTGTTAAGTGGATTATCCCTCCATAAAGCAGAACCAGGTTTTAACATAAAAATGTATAACTTTAACATTATTCGTGGGATTATAATAAATGACCGTTCGGTAGATAGCTGGGGTCTGAGCGCACACTACGCGAAAGTATCAGCTCAGATCCCAGCATGAATAACCGAACGCCGCGCGAAACATACTTTTATATCAAATTCCCCTAAAAGTACTGTACAACTATTGAGAACCCAAATACCGAAAGACCGAAGCTTCCGAACGGCCTGGAAGTCCAGCGGTGTTCGCGCCGTCTAGTAGCCGATTTTAGTTCCAGGTGCTCGACGACCAAACACCACTGGGCTAACAAAGGACCTGTTAGCCTATGCATGCTCCCTGTTCTAAAACATAAAAATACATTTTTACACCAGGTTAACACAGCTTCTTCAGACAACCTTTAAATGTTCTGCAATATGACCTAAAGTGGCTAGGTTTACCACATAACCTTTAATAAGTAGTGTCATTATTAAGTCCCAGACAATTTTCTCACTTGTCCCTACTATATCTGAGAAACCTGGGGGATCAAGGTGGCTATCCCTTCCTTTGTATACACGGAAGGTGTATACATAGCCACTGCCACTTTCACACAGTTTATAAAATTTGATCCCATATCGGGATATTTTGGATGGGATATATTGTCTAAACCCCAGTCTTCCCTTAAACTTCATGAGGGACTCGTCAATGGAAATGTTTTTATTGGGGGTATATATAGTGGCAAATTTACTGTTAAAGTGGGCAATTAAAGGGCGTATTTTATAAAGATCATACTGCGGATCACCCTTTGGGGGGCACTTGTTATTGTCACTAAAGTGCATAAATCGCAGTATGTCTTCATATCTTTCCCTCGTCATTGTCTCTGCAAAAATGGGGGTATTGCAAATAGGATCTTTTTACACTTTTGTGGTGTTTGTGTTTAGCTGTAATTTTCCGCTCTCTCATTTACCGTTCCCATACAAATTATATATTGTTTTTTTTCCGGACAAAGGGGGCTTTCTTTACATACCATTATTTATATAATCTCATGTAATATAATTTTAAAAAAAAAATGAAAAAATATGATGAAAAATTGAAAATAATACATGTTTTTTGACTTTTACGTGAAAAATCTTTTACTCATCTACTAAAGCGAATGAAAAAAACTGCTAAATAGATTCAAAATTTTGTCCTGAGTTTAAAAATACCCAGTGTTTACATGCTTTTTTGCTATTTTTTTGCAAGTTTTCAGGGCTATAAGGATATTGCAGTTTCAAAACATACATTTTTTAAATTTATCAATAGTGACATTGTAACACTATTATCTGTCATAAATCTCTGAATAACACCCCACATGTACATTTTTTTTTTAAAGTAGACAACCCAGGGTATTCAATATGGGGTATGTCCAGTCTTTTTTAGTAGCCACTTAGTCGAAAACACTGGCCAAAGTTAGCATTCATATTTGTTTGTGTGTGAAAAAAGTAAAAAACTAAATTGAACGCTAATTTTGGCCAGTGTTTGTGACTAAGTGGTTACTAAAAAAGACTGGACATACCCCATTTGCAATACCTTGGGTTGTCTTCTTTTGCAAATGGTATGCCATCATGGGGGTAATTCTCATTCCTGGGCTACCATACACTCTCAAAGGCAACGTAACCAACCTGGCCATTTTCAATGTAAAAATATTTGACCCATATATTTGACCCTGTAACTTTCAAAAACGCTATAAAACCTGTACATGGGGGGTACTGTTATACTCAGGAGACTTTGCTGAACACAAATATTAGTGTTTCAAAACTGGAAAACGTATCACAACAATTATATCATCAGTAAAAGTGCTGTTTGTGTGTGGAAAAATGCAAAAAAAAGTCACTTTCACTGACAATATCATCGCTGTCATATGTTTTACTGTTTTGAATCACTAATATTTGTGTTCAGCGAAGTCTCCCAAGTAAAACAGTACCCCCCATGTACAGGTTTTAAGGTGTCGTAGAACGTTACAGGGTAAAATACAGTGCTAGCAAATTAAATTCTCTGGATTTTCGGCCTGGATTGGCAGGCAGGTCCCTCAAATTGCAATCAATAATATTACTTAATTATGTAAAAATATTACATAAATAAGCACGTAGAATTTAAATATATAAGCATATTTATATATTTGAAGTCTACTTGTATATTTATGTAATTTTGTATATGGACATATGTATATTTCGTATTATTTTTATTTATTTATATATACATAGATATATATATACAATTTCATTCTAAGTGTATTTTGATATAAATATATATTAATATCAAAATACAGTTAGAATAAAATTTCATATAGATATATAATTTTTTAAATTTTTTTTATTATATTTAAAATGTTTTATTTAATTTAAATTACTTATTTGTATTTTATAATAATATTTATATACAATATATATAGTTATTATATATATATATATATATATTATATATATATACGTGTGTAATTTAATTATACGTGTATTTTTATATTAATATATGTACAATATATGACATTATATATATGATATATAGACATATATTATATAAATATAATAAATGTCTATATATCATATTTATATACACATATATAATTTTTTTTTAAATTAACATTAACTAGCAGGGAGACACTAGCAGGGAGACTGACTGTCAGCACAGGCAGTCCCCCTGCAGGCAGACACATGGACACCTGTGGCCATGTGATCACTCTGTTGAGCAATCACATGGCCACAGGGGTCCTAATCCGCCATTGGGAGACTGTCTGGGCTGCAGGCAGTCTCCCCACACTGGGAGCGCCGCCGGGAGAACGACGGCGATCGGGTGAGTAAATAAGACCATTAGGACGGTTCACGACCGTCATCGGTCGGCAATGCAAAAATGCTGATGACGGTCCTGAACCGTCCTCGGTCCTTAAGGGGTTAACTTTCCCTGGGGCTGCATGTGCTTAACCACATGTCAGGATAGTGGCTGCACAAAAGTCTGGGTGTCAGATATACATCCTTGACCACCATCCCCAACACTCTGTCACAATATATATATATATATATAACTTCCACAAGAAAAGGCTGCTCTCCGGACTTAAAATCAAAGATTTTATTGAAAATGTTTAAAAATGATGACCCTTATATATATATATATGCAGGACATTGTGTAAAGTGAAAGATATTTGCGTATGTATGGACAAATGATGTATATAATATAAATATAGGACTATCTGTAGTGTTCAGATAAAGCAATAAAAAGAGGCAGCACATTAAATAACATCCCCTGTTATGAAAATAATGACACTGATAAAATTATTTATGATAAATGTAGATATGCAGGGTACTAGGATATTTATATGTATATAGGATATGTAGCGGATGGCATTGGGCTGTCCTAAAAAGTGCATTGATGTCTATGTATTCGGTTGAATTGTAACCTGTATATGTGAAGTGTATGTAGCATTCTCTGATTGTTCGGTAAAATCACTCCAGTTCTTATGCGAATGAAACTACCGAACAATCAGACCACCCCAATAATAAGTGTGTCTCCAAATACTGTTCGCAACAATGTTGCAAATGGGTAATTGGCGGTTCGTGCAGTGGGTCCTTTGTTCTCTGGGTGGCCACCATTCGGGAGAAAGAACACGTGACGGCAGCCATTTTAAACTCCCGAACAGCGGTGTTTTGCCGTCGAGTGTCTGGAACACAAATCGGACACTCGGTTAGGCAAACACCGCTGAGACCTCCACACTGCCGTCAATTTGTATACAAACTACCGAACGGCTTCTCGTTCGGTAGTTTGAATCCCACGAACAAGGGAAATTACATGAAACCTCCCCAGCTCTCCTAACATAAGTCATTCGTGTGTTACATTCCCTTTTCTGTGACCAACCGCAGGGCCAAAACACATGGAACCCTTTTCGGCTGGTAAACCCAGTGCGGTTGGTCATTTTACTACTTCCATAAATTTCCCAAACCCCTGGTCCGATATGGGTGATTTTTGGATATGTGTCTCACCCAGATCAGGGCTACCAGGGGATGTAACATTTAAAGGGGTACCCCTATGTCTAGGGGTACATCCAGAAACTCTGGGAATTTGTGTCCTGCATAAGGGGATTATGTGATTATGTGTCACACTAAGGGGATGTGTGGGTGGCAACTCGTGGAGGATTGGCTACTGTACTAATTATTGCATATCCCTCCCTTGCATGGGAGAATGCTTTATAAGGAAGTTGTGCGCATTAAAAGTCAGTTCTGCTCCTGATGCTGTGTGTCGTCCAGTCATTGGGATCTGTATGGGGATATTCGTGGTTTACTTTGCTTGCTGGAATTATTACTTCATGGTATTTTTACTACTTGTTCCTGAGCCTCACTGGGATCTCTAGTGGAGTTAACCTGGGAAATACCAGGCCTCCGCTACAGGATATATGTTACATTTTTCTGTGTGTGTATGTATATATATATATATATATATATATATATATAAACCAGGGGACTGCACTCACCTGAACATGCATAAAAGGATGCTGCTGGGGCCAATTCATACAATACACAAGATACCATGTTGCCTCCGAAAATAGTACAAAATGCTCCTAATATATGCCCTACCCTGAAAATAAGCCCTAGTCGTTCGCTAATCTATGTTCGGGGAATTTTCTTCAAACATAGATTCACAAGATTTCATTCGCGAGTGAACTAATCTATGTTCGGGGAAGTGTCCCCGAACATAGATTTGTGGTATTCTATTAGTGAGTAAGCCAATCTATATTATGGAAAGTTTCCCTGAACATAGATTTGCTGGACTCCATGCCCTAGTGAATTGGTCTATGTTCGGGGGAATTCCCCCGAACGTAGATCTGCTTTCTAGCACACGTTTTCCCGAAATAATATCTCCCTCGAAAATAAGCCCTAGTGCGTTTTTCATGGGAAAAATTAATATAAGACCAGGTCTTATTTTCGGGGAAACACGGTAGCACTCACTTATCCACTAAACAGCAACTCCAAAGTTTACAGATTTTATTTTATTTTTTTTTAAAACAAAAGACAAATAATCTAGGCCAGGGGTTCCCAACCTGATGGCCTTCTCCTCCACACTGTCACATCCCCCCCTCACCCACTCTGTCATACTACCCTCTCACCCACACTGTCACACTGCACCCTCACTCAAACTGCCCCCTCACCCACACTGTCACACTGCCTCCTCACCCACACTGTCACTGGCCCACACTGTCACACAGCTCCCTCACCCACACTGTCAATGGCCCACACTGCCCACTCACCAACACTGTCTCACTGCCCCCTCCCCACACTGTCACACTGCCCTTCCACACACTCTCACACTGCCCCCTCACTGACACTGTCACATTGCCCCCTCCCCCACACTGTCACACTGCCCCCTCACTCACACTGTCACACTGCCCCTTCCCCACACTGTCACTGGCCCACGCTAACACATCCCCCCTCTCACCCACACTGTCACTGCCCCCTCACCCACACTGTCACACAGCTCCCTCACCCACACTGTCAATGGCCCACACTGCCCCCTCACCAACACTGTCTCACTGCCCTCTCACCCACACTGTCACACTGCCCCTCACCCACACTGTCACAATGCCCCCTCACCCACAATGTCACACTGCCCTCACCCACACACAATGCCACCTCACCCACACTATCACACTGCCCCCTCACTCACAATGTCACACAGCCCCTTACCCACACTGTCACAATGCCCCCTCACCAAAACTCTCTTATTGCCCTCTTCCTCACACTGTCACACTGCCCCCTCACTCACACTGTCACTGGCCCACGCTAACACATCCCCCCCACACTGTCACACTGCCCCCCTCACCCACACTGTCACATTGCCTTCTCCCCACACTGTCACATACCCTCACCCACACTGTCACACTACCTCTCACCCACATTGTCACACTGCCCCTCACCCACACCGTCACAATGCCCCCTCACCCACACTGTCACACTGCCCCCTCACCCAAACTGTCACATTTCCTTCCCCCCCACACTGTCACATTCCACCCTCACCCACACTGTCACACTGCCCTCTCACCCACATTGTTACACTTCCTCACCCATTGTCACACTGCCCCCTCCCTCACACTGTCACATTGCCCCCTCACTCACACTGCCACACTGCCCTTCACCCTCATTGTCACTGGCCCACACTGTCACATCCCCCCCTTACCCACACTGTCACACTGCCCCCTCACCCACACTGTCACTGGCCCACACTGTCACACTGCCCCTTCACCCACACTGTCACATACCCCTGCCATAATATCCTTCTTTAGAACAGGTGCCCAAAATTACACAGCATATTCAATATGTGGTCTTACCAGTGATTTATAAAGAAGTAAAGTGATAGTCTCTTCCCGAGAATGAATGCCCTTTTTCATGCATGACAATACCTTACTGGCCTTAGCCACTGCTGATTGACATTGCACATTGTTGCATAGTTTATTGTCTATAACAATTCCCAAGTCCTTTTCATGTGTTGTTATCCCTAATTCGCTTTCATTAAGGGTATACGTTGCCGAAGTGCATAACTGTGCATTTTTCAACATTAAATTTCATCTGCCATTTAAGTGCCCAGTCTCCCAGTCTATCTAAATCCCTCTGCAGCAAAGTAATATCTTTCTCACATTGTATTATTTTACAAAGTTTTGTGTCATCTGCAGACACTGAAACATGACTTTCAATGCTTTTTTCAAGATCATTTATAAACATGTTAAATAGAAGGGGTCCCAGAACAGAATCCTGAGTGACACCACTTGCCACCCCTGACCAGCTTGAAAATTTACCATTAATGACATCTCTTTGTACTCTGTTTTTAAGCCAATGTTCTTCCCAAGAACAAGCATTTTCATCTCCTTGAGTTTGAACATTAATTTCCTTGAGTGTGAACCCTAATCTATTGTGTGGAACTGCATCAAATGCCTTGGAAAAATCCAAATAGACCACATCCACTGCAACACCCTGATCTATACTTCTATTTACTTCTTCGTAGAACGCAATCAAGTTAGTTTGACATGACCCGTGCTTCATAAAACCATGCTGATTTTTGCTGATAACCATGTTCTTCTCAAGGAATTCTTGAATATTATCCCTTAATAACCTTTCAAATATTTTCCCAGCCACAGAAGTTAAGCTCACAGGTCTATAATTTCCAGGCAATGATTTCAAACCCTTTTTGAATATAGGAACCACATGTGCCTTCCTCTAAGCCTCTGGAACACTTCCTGAAAGAAAAGAATCTTGAAAGATTAAAAACTTCAATAAGGTTCACTTATTTCTACACATAGTTCCTTAACTACTCGTGGATGGATACCGTCAGGCCCTGGAACTTTGTTTATATTAACTTCCTTTAGTTGCTGCAGCAACTTGTCTTGAGTTAACCAATTACAATTATTCTGCATGTTTTTAGTAGCAGTCATTTGCACATCTATTGCCATGGGTTCTTCCTTAATATATACGGAGGAGAAATAGTTATTTAAAATTCCTGCCTTTTCCTGGTCTTCATTAACTAACACCCCTATTTCAGTTTTAAGTGTACCTACACTTTCATTTTTTTATTTTTTTTAGAATTTATGTACTTAAATAATGCCTTGGGGTTGGTTTTGCTCTCTTTGGCTATCATTTTTTCATTTTGAAGTTTAGCAAATCTAATCGCCTTTTTGCACGCATTATTGGCTTCCTTATATCTTTTATAGGATGCATCTGATTTGTCCGATTTAAATGCCCTTTTCTTATTTTTTATCTCTTGTTTTACTTCTCTACTAAGCCACATTGGTTTTCATTTGTTTCTTTTATATTTATTACCCAATGATACATACTGAGAAATGTACCTTTCTAATATTTGTTGGAAGATGTTCAATTTATCCTCAGTGTTCTTTTCACTAAAGAGTTTATGCCAGTCAATATATTGTAAATCTGCCCTTAACTTATAGAAATTAGCCTTTTTTGAAAATTATATGTTCAACACATGGCAACCATAAAGAAGAGGCAAGGAGGATAGCAACATCCAAGTACCTCCAAAGAGTAAGACAGGTCCTGAAGTCCCAGCTCAATGGCAAGAACAAGATCCAAGCCATCAACACATATGCCCTACCAGTCATCGAGTACCCAGCTGGAATAATAACCTGGCCAAGAGAAGAACTGGTCACCATGGATGTCAAGACCAGGAAACTACTCTCTATAAATGGAGGATTCCACCCGAAATCCAGCACCCAGAGACTGTACACTGCCGGAAGTAAGGAGGTCGGGGCCTGACGAGTGTCAAGGATTCCACCCGAAATCCAGCACCCAGAGACTGTACACCTGCCGGAAGTAAGGAGGTCGGGGCCTGATGAGTGTCAAGGCCACAGTCCTGGATAAAAAGTCAAATCATCCACAAGTACATCATGAAGATGGCTCCCAAAGATGAACTGCTAAGGAAATGCCTGAGACTTCCACAGATCGAGGATGCAGACAAAGAGGATGTTCTTTGGCAAGACAAACCTCTCCATGGGGTGTCCCACTGGCAGCTAGTGGATGTGGCTCACATGACAAAATCCTACCAGTGGTTGGAAAAGGTAGGACTGAAAGACAGCACTGAGGCACTAATCCTAGCAGCACAGGAGCAGGCACTCAGCACCAGATCAATAGAAGCTGGAGTCTACCACACCAGGCAAGACCCAAGGTGCAGACTGTGCAAAGAGGCCTCTGAGACAGTCCAGCACCTAGTAGCTGGATGCAAGATGTTGGCAGGAAAAGCATACACGGAGAGACACAGCCAGGTTGCTGGGATTGTGTACCGAAACATTTGCACAGAATATGGATTGGACCTTCCTAAGTCCAGATGGGAGATACCACAAAGGGTAGTTGAGAATGACAGGGCTAAGATCCTGTGAGACTTCAAGATCCAGACAGACAAGCAAGTGCTGGCCAACCAACCAGACATTGTGGTGGTAGACAAGGAACGAAAGACTGCAGTCGTGGTGGATGTGGCAATACCCAGTGACTATAACATCAGGAAGAAGGAACATGAGAAGGTGGACAAATACCAATGACTGAAAGAACTAGAATGGATGTGGAAAGTGAATGCAGTAGTAGTCCTAGTTGTGATAGGAGCACTCGGGGCTGTGACTCCCAAGTTGGGGGAGTGGCTTCAACAGATTCCAGGTGGGACATCTGAGATCGCTGTCCAGAAGAGTGCAGTTCTAGGAACAGCTAAGATACTGCGCAGAACCCTCAAATTCCCAGGCCTCACCACCCAGGAGGGGTGAGAAAATAATCTTTTTTTATATACATATATGCTATGCCGTCCATGTGATCGTGAGGTCCTCACAAGGACCTCACGATCACATGGCCCAGGGGGGCCGAAGAGGACGGAGGGGGACTCCCTGGGCTCCAGGTAAGTACAAAGGACGGTTTGGGCGTTCTATGCTGCCCTCTGGAGTTTAGAGCCGGTTCCCTAAGGACGGCATAGAACGCGCGCCGTCCTTAAAGGGTTAAACACATTTATTGATAACTAGACATAATACAGCCTAAATACTTTGAGAGGACATTTTCTCAAAGCTTTACGCATCTCTTGTATTGGTTGAGGAATGTAGGTTGTATAAGCTGATGACTTCCAGCGACCTAGCGGTTTAATGATATGAACTGGAACATCCTGGCTGGATGTCGTATATGCGGCCTCTATTCTAAATGAGTGTCCTGAATAATGCTAGAGTTCAGGCCAAGCCTTATTAACAATAAGTGGATGTAAAACATGAATTTGGACGTATTGAGGATAGCCTGTGCAGTGACAGAAGCGGCAGTGAGGCGTGATTTTGTAGGGTAAGAAGGTAGGAATCGAAAACTTTTACGAGGCACCAGGAATTGTTCGTGGGGTAATAAGGAATGTGGACAGGTTGGCCTAGCTGGCTCGTTTTGGTCACGGGTACAGTAAGTATGTAATGATCTAGGTGTTTCCTTAAATATGAGATGCTGAGGCAGAGTTGTGCGTTATGTTGTCCACTTATGGTGAACTCCCGTGGTCTCAGGAAGCCGTAAAAGGCCAAGTATATGGCGGTTTTAATGACTGAGTTTGTCTGGGGTTCGAACAGGGCTGAACTAGTACCTCTGACATGACTTTGAATAAATGTTTGTTGATGGTACCTGGTAATTGATTTGGGGTCAAAGGCCAGTTACGGCCAATCGGATCCACAGAAGGGGTATTTAAATCCAATTCTCCTTTTGCTCATTGCCCTGTTGTGGTTTCGTCCTGATGGTAATCCGAGAGTGCGTTCCTGATCTTGATTTTCTGGTATTTGACTTTGGCTTAGTTTTTACTTCCCTGAATTCTGGTATCCTTGACTTTTGGCTTTCCCTCATCGTTGTGTCTGATTCTGTGTTCCTGACCTAGTATTTTGACTATTCTTGGATACATTAAGACCGGCCATTCTAAGGTCCATTTATATGTTATCCTTAGTCCTAGGTGTGACACAGTTCTGCATGCTGGATCAACTTGTAATCCTGACACCCTGGACCCAAGACCAGGATCTAGCTTCCAGTGGGTAAACCTCTCCTCCAAGAGAGTGTAGAAATATGCTCTTAAAAGAGCAAGTGATTATAATCGCAGGGAATATAGTAATACAGCAATCCCCAGAGTGAAAGTAGCTGTCCCCTCCACACATGAGACGAGATTCTATGTTAAGGATGAAGAGGAACTCATTTATTGGTAACCTTATATGCAAGTCCCCATGCAAGGGGCACTCCCCCCTGGACCTGAGAGTAAACCACAGCAGAAACATACACACAATTACATTGGCTTTTACTCGGCTAGATTTTATGCTGTCCTTCAATTTGCTGGCGCTATATAAATAATACAATAATAATAATACAGGGCCACCCCGCCCCCTTTCTTGCCTTCCCTGTCTTTTCTATATAAAGAGTACCCTGGTATTGCTAAGTCCAGTCATTTTTCTCATTATACCATGCCTCAGTAACAATGACTAAATCTACTTTATCAGAGAGCCGCGCAGGAGGAAGGAGGAGAGATTCAGAGTGGGAAATCTGACTCCCATCAGGCTGAGCCCTCACTGGACCACAGGGAAAGTCACCCTCCTGCAAAAAGTAGGAAACAGGAGGGCGACTTAAACATTTTGTATATGTGCATGTATGTGTATGTATGTGTCTGTATGTGTGTTTGTCTCTGTATGTATGTGTCTGTATGATAGACACATACATACAGAGACACACACACATACAGACACATACATACAGACTGTATGTATTGTCTGTATGTGTGTGTGTGTCTGTGGGTATGTATATGCCTGTGTGTATTTCTGTCTGGGTGTATGTGTGTCTATACCTATGTGTGTGTCTGTATGTATGTATGCGTGGGGGGTGGGGACACTGATCAGTTTCGCACCAGGGCACCATGGATTGTGTGTACGCCACTGCGAGTGCCCACTTTTATTTGATAAATTATTTGGATATATATGTACTGATAAGAGTTTATGTTTTTAAACTGAGACAGTGCAATAAAAGCTACATTTTAACAGAAAGCAAGTGCTCTGAGTGCTGACCATCCTTGAAAGTATGTATATGTGTGTATATATGTGTTTGTGTGTGTGTATATATATATATATATATATATATATATATATATATATATAGTTATGTCTTTAAGCTAGCAACAAATTATATATGTAATTTATTCGTATTATTGGTAGAACTGAAAGTTATAAAGGCAATCGTGTAAAGTTTTGTGAGCATTTTGTACATGCAAAAAATGAATTAAAACATTCTGCAAATGGTCATATATAGAACAACCTGTAGGAACAGTAACTCAGACAGGTGCAAAGTGAAGGGTTTATTGAAGCTCATAATGCCGAAAAGCCTTATTTGATAGCTGTATGGTTTAATAAACTTTGCACCTGTCTGAGTTGTCTGTTCTACTTATATGGTTTAGAGATCAATGGTTCCCCTAGGGATGGAGCACTGACTGGTAAAATTAAATGGAATAAGCAACCTTAAAGGGACACTTTAGTCACCCAGACCACTTCAGCTCAATTAAGTGGTCTGGGTGCAATGTCCCTCGGGTTTTAACCCTTCACATGTAAACATACCAGTTTCAGAGAAACTGCTATGTTTACATAGTAGGGTTAATCCAACCTCTAGTGGCTGTCTTCTTGACAGCCGCTAGAGGCGCTTCTGCAACGCTGGATGCGAAATTCGCATTCAGCGTGCAGAATGTTCATAGGAAAGCATTGAGAAATGTTTTCCTATGGACTATTAGAATGTGCGCGTTGCTCTTGCCGCGCATGCGCATTCCGCTCCACTCGGGGACTGACGATGGCGGGGGAGTAGATAAGTCGCTGAAGGGGTTTTAACCTTCAGCCCAGCGGGAGGGAGACCCTGAGGGTGAGGGTTCCCCAAGAATTATATAGTGTCAGGAAAACTAGTTTGTTTTCCTGAAACTATAGTGATCCTTTAAGTGCAATATTCTGTGTATGCCACAAGTGGAGAATTTTGCTCAATATTAAAATGAAAATAAATGAAATTTGTAGCAATTGTGATTCAATGCATCTAAACCTCTTTACATGTTCGCTCACTGCAATCATTGTTTTTATTTTATTTTTTTTATATATGAAGAAAACATTTTTCTCAAAATTCATTTTCTAGTAAAGTAAAGCTGTGTTATCTTTTTGCAAGAACATAGAATATGAGAACTCTGAAAAGCACCAAGAAACTCAGTAGCTTGACCATAAGGGCAGTCCAGATCTGGAATGCTGCACGTTCCCTCTGCACAAGAGATACAGCAACCCTGATTGTTTCAGCCTTCCTTGGGACTCGTTAGCGAGGTGTAGCTGATACACCTCTAGACACAGTGAGGTGTTATTCTTTCAACTTAAGTAGAACCTAAGCAAATGCAGTTTAGCAAAAACAGAGAAAACTCTCAGTATTGACACAAATTCAAACAAACTTAATAGCCTTACCCTTCAGTTAATAACAAGTCTGAAAATAGTTATATCGTTTTTGTTTGCTCATGTTTTTAGTTCGGATCCTTCCGACTTCAACATAGAAAAATCAGCTTTTACTGAACTGAACAAGAAAAATGGAATTGTTATTCACACTAAGGGAAGACCAGTCCTACTAATAAGCAGCACAAGCTGGACAGGTTAGGCTTTTGTTCTAAGAAATTCAAAACTGTTTTTTAATAAATTAAATATTTACTGAAATTTAACAGAAAGTATGTATTTGCATATATGTGTGGCTTTTTTATTTTGGCTTTATTTTTCTTAAATCAATCATGACATGCAATATTTCATGTGTTATTGTTCATCTGAGGTTGTTTTTACCTCATTTTAAGACCTGTTAAAGAACAGATGACTGTTATTATGATATGTAAAACCAAAGAATTCATAGAGGATGTACTTTCTTTTTCCCATGACTCTATCTATCTATCTATCTGGGCTCAAAATTTTGCTACGACTAGTAGAAATTCACCCCTGGTGATCATGTTTTGACTTGCAGTGGGGTAATTTTTAAGGGCTGCCTAGTAGTATAGGAGTTCAAATTTAAATCAGTATGTGTGTTTTTGTATGGGCACTCAATGAACCTTTGAAAATGAAAATGGTGTGCAACAATTAACTTTTGGACCTCTCAGGTTCTTGAGAAAGGATCCTGTGAGGTCTTTAATATTGATGCTGCACACCATTATGTACTCAACTTCACTTGTTTTTTCCAGTAATGTACTCAGTAGAATGTGTTTGTTTTTATTTATATTTTTAACTACATTCGTTCATAATATGTACATATCTGATTTAGATTTTTGTTTTTTTGCTTCCACCTCACAGAAGACGAAGATTTTACAGTGTTGTTGAGAGCATTGCAAGGCAAGTTTATTAATGCCCGTTTCTGTGTGTGTATAGAAGTATTACACTGCTACTTGAGAGGGGGAAGATCTTTACATAATTCACTGGAACTTTAATTACATATTGTCATATTTAAAAAAAAAAAAACGACAATAGGTGCGCTATATCTTGAAGTGCAATACTATTAAAGCAGCACACAATATAGAAAATGACAGTGCAATGGCATACAGTGCTAAATATTGTGAAAAAACACTACCAGGGATCAGGGTGACTTTGGAAGCTTTGATTTTATGTGTGTTACAAATAAAGGCTGTTCATTTTTCCACTGGCTGGAGTGAAGATCTACTTACTAAGGCTGTCATAGTTAGAGCAGACTCATTTGCTCTGCGTTTGTGAGTTCATTACCTATCTCACTTATATTTTCATATTGTGTGTATTTTACAGTTTTACACTATATATATTTTTTTCTATTTTATGTTTCTAATACTGGGTTTTACCTGGAATTTTGCTGCTATTTTAAGTTGTTTTTACATAACTTTTTTACATAACTTTTGCACAATATCACTTTAAGTGGTTTTTCAGTTCACATTTTTGTACTAATAAGCTGTGTTTTTTTATACTATTGCTGCTTATTTATATTAGTGATTTTCACTGGATTGAAGCACTTTATATTAACCCCTTAAGGACCAAACCTCTGGAATAAAAGGGAATCATGACATGTCATACATGTCATGTGTCCTTAAGGGGTTAAGGTTTACACAGATTGTTACAAGTGTGCATAAGTGTTTTTTTCACAATATTTAGCACTGAATGCCATTGCACTGTCATTTTATATATTGTGTGCTGCTTTAGTAGTATTGCACTTCAAGATAAAGCGCACCTATTGATTTTTGTTTTTTTTAATGGTTTTAGGAGTGTTCTTTTGGGCTAATACACGTTTTTTAGGTGCTGCTTTCACCTTTTTAGTTTATCTAATTTTTTTTTATAATTAGAGCGAAATCTATTCACTTGTTTGTGTTTGTACGCTGATATTTTTTTAAAACTACAGTATTTAGTTTACATTTCTAGCTTCCTGGTCTGCAATAAAAAGAACTACAACCATTCTTACAATGTAAACTGGTTTGCTCCTTAGTTATTGTCATAGTAAAATGTAAAACACCAAGTAAGATATGTTTCCTTAATTTTAAACTAAATTCCATTTTGTGTGTATGTATACTCATGCTCTTAATATCTTAAAGGAAAACTGTTACATTTGTTATTTAAAATAAAAGCTTGCAATGATAGTCTCTCTACGCATTATTTTGTAATCATACATAATTTCGGTGTCTCTCATGAGTTACCCTTGCTATATGGAGGCAGCCACCTTTAATCCAAGTTTCAGTAAAGGGGCACAAGATAAAAGGAGCTTGAGATCATGTTTTGTGCAGCCATTGCCTTAGTGATTTGTTTTGAACCCGACTGAAAAACCTACATTTTTGTTTCCTACAAAAATACACAAGGAGAGAAATCTAATTTAATAAACTTGACATCAAAATTATGAATTCTGGAATGCCTTTGATTTACTGTTTGCATGATTTTATTTTTTATTAGATTATGAAGAGTTAATCAGAAATGGAATTAAACTTCCACCTTTGGTCTGCGTTATAACAGGTAACACTAGTATTTAGATGCATTTTGTTAGAAGCAGAACATAGATATACATATTTGTTGAATATTGTATGTGTGTATGTGTGTGTGTGTGTGTGTATATACAGTGCTGCACAAAATTACCTTTCAGAAATCTTGGTAATTATATCATAAATATTTATTAATCTTGATTGTGGTAATATTTTGTATTTGTCAGATTTCATTTCTGTTTTGGAAAGTGTATGGCAGATATTACAAGGAGTGTCTGTCTTATCATTTTAAAGCTGAAGTTAGCTAAATTTAGTATGCTAAGACTGTATGTTTAATATAAATCAACAAATCCAAAGTTCAGCCCATCCTAACCCTATATATATCGCTCTCCCGAGTAACTTTCTTCTTTGCCTACTTTCTTCTTTGCCTTTGTAACACACTTCACTGAGAAGATTTCTGTGATCAGGAAAGAGGTCTCTAATCTCTCTTCTACCTCTGCCATTACTTCAATCTCACAACCTCCTCTGTTTTATGCTCACTCGCACCCACTACACCAGCAGCACTAACCCTCACTAGAATATCTCTCCCTCTAATCTAGCATATTTCCTTCACCCATCAAGCATGCAATCATCACCTAAATTCTAAAAAAGCTAAACCTTGACCCCAAATCCCCATCCTACTACTGCCCTATCTCACAACTACCATTTGCCTCCAAGATCCTTGGGAGAGTTGTGAATGCTAGATTGACCGAATTCCAACTCTCTGTTCGACCTGCTTCATTCTCGATTCTCTGCTTGTCACTTTGTCTAAACGACCCTGACCAAAGTATCCAACAAATTAATTGCTGCTCTGTATCTAATGGTCGCTACTCTCACCTAATTCTCCTTGACCTTTTGGCTGTTTTTGACATTGTTGATCAACAGCTTCTTCTCAATCTCAGTGATCTTGGCCTATGAGACTCTGCACTTTCCTGGTTTTTCTCCAACCTCTCCCAACGCCCATTCAGTGTTTCTTTATCTGGCTCTTCCTCTCCTTCGCAACCCCTCTCTGTCCTTGGTCCCCTACTGTTTTCCATCAATACTGCCTCCCTTGGTAAACTCATCAGCTGTCTTGGCTTAAAATATCATTTCTATGTGAATGACACACAAGTCTATCTGCTCTCTCCGTTCCTCCTGATTCGTGTCTCTGACTGCCTCTCTGCATTTTCAAATTGGATGGCTGCTCATTTTTTTAAACATAAACTGTCCATCTTTCCTCCCTCAAGTGTTGCTACTCCTGTGTCTCTCGCCCTCCAAGTCAATGGCATTACCATCAGCTCTACCTCGCTGTCTAGGTGTTCTCTTTGACTCTGACTTCTCCTTTACTCCTGCAGTCCATTCACTTGCCAGTCCTGCCACTTCTATCTCAAAAACATAGCTCACATCCGCACCTATATAATGCTGGATGTGGCCAAGCTGCTGGTCCATGCCGCTTTCATCTCTTGCCTTGACGACTGCAATCTGCTTATCAGTGGTCTTATACGTTTCCAGCTGACCACGTTACAGTCTATAATTAATAAGGCAGTGAGGCTCATCTTCCTGACCGCCTGCACCTCCTATGCCTCCCACCTCTGTCAGTCCTTGCACTAACTTCCCGTAAGATATGGGGCTCAATTTAAATTCTGGTTCTGCTTACATGTCTTTACATAACGCTGCTCCTATCTACCTATTCTCACTGATACACAAATATGTCCCGTCCAGGGCCCTATGCTCTGTAGAAGATTTCCATCTATAACCTGTTCGTACTCGTACCTTTGATGCCCACCTTCAAGACTTGAGCTGTGCCATTTCTATGGAACTCCCTTCCCTGCTTTATTTGACTCTCACTCAGTCTCAGCTCTTTCAAAAGATGATAAAAACTGTTAATAGCTTTACTTCCCCGCACCTTTGTTACCCACCCTGCTTAATCTCCTGCAACTGTGCCATCCAAAAACCTAATCCTTCCCTTACCTCTTGCACAACTTTACCCTACTCCCTCTAGAACATAAGCTGGTTTGAGCAGGGCCCTCAACACCCTCTGTTTCGTTGCGTCCAGCTCGTCTTGTTGCAAATACATGTCTGTTAGTCCACCTATTTGTACAGCGCTACATAATTTGTTGATGCTTCATAAATAATACTAATAGTAAAAATATTGTGGCTGTAGCTCTATACCTTAAATCGCAGGCAATGTTCAGTGTTTAAGAGAGAAATAAAGGCATATATAGATTCAGTATGTGAATATAATTAAACCATACATTTTAAAACGTTAATTAAGCTTGTTGGAACAAAAAGTCAAAATTTTAATAGCTTGATTTATTAAAATGTTTTTTAAATTGAAAATTACATAATTTAACCCCTTCAATACCAAAATCGAATATTAACATCTTTCTTTTCATTTATTTTGAAGTAAGAAATCTGGTCTATAAAGACTCACTTAGCCTCATTTATATATATCATTACCATCCTGTAAACGTAAAAATTACAGAAACTACTAGTCTTATTATAATGCCTGCAAATATGCTGAAAGTGTTTGCTCATCCTCTGCTTTTAAACAGTGCAGGAAGTTTCAATGGATTATTTTATCTCTACAGTCACAGCGGGGGTAGGAGTGAGTAAACTCCACCATTTCACTTCTGGCATGACATTAACAGTTCGGAGATTGATAAAGATTGGCATAGCCGTTTTAAACACATTTTTAATAGAAAAATATGATTTTACCGTATTTACTGTATGTGCGCATTATGCTCAAATGCAGACATACTAAAAATAGTAACAGAATGAAAAAAGTAAGTCATACTGCTAGTAATGACTTTGTGGTCCTTGTAAATAGCTTAAACAAATTTTTTTTTGTATATTTTTGTCACATCTACTGTATGTAAGAGAAATATTTTTGCTTTTATACTAAAATGTTAAAACTTGTGTAAAATATTGAAAGATAAAGGACACTGTATACTGTCTAAAGCTTTTTATAAAGTGTGAATGAATGATTAAGTGAAAAACAAAAATAGTGTAAATTTACATAATTGAAATTTTTACAGTTGTCTGCAAAGCAAGCCAAACGCAAAATTGCTGCTTTGTGATATGTTTATATGCTATCTTTGCATACCTTACTTCAAAAAAATATTATGTTAAAAAGAACAAATATTAAAAAAAGTTTGCTGGTGAAGGTGGTAATCCCTATGTTTTGCATATCCACTGTTGTTTTGTTGAAACGTTTGTGCTTTGTAGGCTACTTATAAATGTGAGTTGTACTTTGCTGCTATGAACAAAAAGAAAAAGTGGTAAACCATGATTAATCTATGTAAATATTGCTTCTGATCTGTTCATTTTGTTATGGATCATTTATTGACCTCTTAAGTGCCTGGTTTTCAGTAAGGAATTGCAGATATTTGGCCAAAATTGCTGTGTTGCAAACATGAACGAGACTTACGGGGTTATTTACTAAAGTCAGAATTGTGAGGAATTCAAAGTGAGTTTCAAATTTAGGGCAAAAAAAGTTAATTTGGAAAAATTCTGCAAGCCACTTATGCTTCCAGAGTGGTCTAAAATGTGAAATTCCCCTTTTCGGCAGTTTTCACTTTGGTGAATAACCATGTTAGAGATTTTTGTCCAGCAAAATATGCAATTCCACAGCAAATAATTCTGCGAGGGACAAAGAAAAATGAAAAATAGGTTTTGTTTTAGATATATATGCTCCTTTTTCTATATTGATTTAAGATCAAATGCATTTTTCTTTCTACATTTGCAGGCAAAGGCCCATTAAAAAAATATTATACTCAGTTAATGGAGGAGATGTACTTTAAGCACATCCACATTTGTACACCATGGTTAGAAGCTGAAGATTATCCACTTTTGCTAGGTAATATAAACAGTGAAGAACACTATGTAGTCAAAAGAATGTCATGTATTTTTTAGTCATAATCTGGTTAATTTATTGCCATATACAGATGCATTTAATCCAGTGTTTTATGCCTAGGTTGCCGTTTGATCAACTTAAAGGACCACTCTAGGCACCCAGACCACTTCAGCTTAATGAAGTGGTCTGGGTGCCAGGTGCCTCTAGGATTAACCCTTTTTTTTATAAACCTAGCAGTTTCAGAGAAACTGCTAGGTTTATAAATGGGTTAATCCAGCCTCTAAATCCTCTAGTGGCTGTCTCATTGACAGCCACTAGAGGCGTTTGCATGCTTCTCACTGTGAAAATCACAGTGAGAAGACGCCAGCGTCCATAGGAAAGCATTATGAGACTGGCTGAATGCGCGCGCAGCTCCTGCCGCGCATGCGCATTCAGCCGGAGAGAAGGAGGAGAGCTCCCCGCCCGGCGCTGGAAAAAAAAATGTAAGATTTAACCCTTTCCTCTCTATCCAGCCCCGCGGGAGTGGGACACTGAGGGTGGGGGCACCCTCAGGGCACTATAGTGCCAGGAAAACGAGTATGTTTTCCTGGCACTATAGTGGTCCTTTAAATTGTTTTTGGTGTTTAGGTCATGCTACTGCTGTCTCACTGCTCAATTCTCTGCCGTTTCAAAGTTAAATCAGCCCTTGCCTCCCATAGCCTCCCGCTTACACAACCCCCTACACACTTCCTTTAAATAAATATCTAATTTTTAAACTTCCTTTATTGGACAGTGCGTTTATTTTAGAATTTGTTTTGTGCTCTGGTTATCACTTTCTAGAGCTTGCACATTTAAATACAATTAACAGTAAAGGAGATAAGAACATCTTAAGTAAATAAACTGTGCTGTAAGATCTGATTGGAAATTAAACCATTTTTTTATTGTTGGCTGTGTGAGTCTCAGCCAGAGGAGGCAGCTAGTGCAGCAGGACCAAAGCGATTTAACTACATAGTGGCAGAGAATTGTGCAATGAGGATGCAGGAGCATGCATGATCTATATACAAAAAAATCATTGCATTAAGCTTTAAGTAGTGTAATGGTGACTCTGTGAACATAACATAAAATGTTTGCAACTGCTGTGTTTGACATCGATAAAAAATTGTATGTGTGTTTTGCCCAGAAAGCGTACATTCTCAGTTAAAGTTTTCTTTAGTTCTGCTTTATTTTTTCATTTCAGATTTTTTAAGTTTCTATTAATTTTTTTGGCATCTCAAAGGGAGGATTGCAGCCCACATAAAATGTTAAATGTATATGAACAACAATGGAATCTATTATTTGTGTTATCCTAACGGTCAGCATGCACACCTGATGGAGGGCTTGATTTACAGTACGACAAGAATAGATTTTTGAAGTGTGAGGGCTATTGGGCATTCGAATGGCATTAAAAATGTTTAGCCACTCAACTAACATAAATCAGTACCACTGTTAAAACAAATGTTTTGCTTGAGACGAAATACAAATTGTGGAGATTTGAGCACACTTTAGGATGCATTCTGCACCTAATAAAATTTTAGTTGCACTTCACCATTGGCCATACCACTAGTGACAATTCCAAAACGTCTTTGTTTTTTGCCAAGTTTTCTATTCTACACAACAGAACTACTTATCACTGCATTACATAGTAATTAAGGTTGAAAAGATTCAAGTCCATCTTTTCCAACTCTTGTTTCTGCTATTTACTCAAATGCAACACTGCCCCAGGAATCCCCTCCAGTGGCCATCGGAGGAGTGGCTACTGGAGGTGTCCCTGGGGGGTAATATAAATATTCCTTGCAGGTATGAAAATGCTTGCAGGGAATGATTATACTCACCAGAACAACTTCATTAAGCTGTAGTTTTTTTGGTGATTATAGTGTTACTTTAATTTATGCTAAAATGAACAGTGGCTGACCAGTATCCATCTTCTGCAGATGTTCTGTGTATGGTTTTCCATGTTTTTTTGTCCAGCTGCTACCACCTAGACAGCACACCTTTTTATTGTTGTCCCAGGTTGGACATATTTGACTCCACTTTCTCAATGTAGCTGAGGAGAGGTTATCTGGTTGTTGTTTCCATTTCACATTCATGTACTATGGTATAGTTTCAATTGACTATCTGCAACATAACCACTACACTGAAGTAGTGGTTATGATACATGGAGTGCCACTTTAAATATAATCTGCAATTTTGGACCCCAGTTTGAATGAATATAATGGGACTGAAAAATACGACAATCGATAATATTATAGCTAGATTTTGTCACTGGTCTGCACAAATGCAGACTATTTATTTTATTTCTTGGTGATAATCTCCTAAAAATGCACAATTGCATATTTTTCACTATATTTTTTTAAATTTCAGGATCAGCTGATCTAGGAGTTTGTCTACATAAATCATCCAGTGGTTTGGACTTACCTATGAAAGTAGTTGATATGTTTGGTTGTTGCCTTCCTGTGTGTGCAGTTAATTTTAAGTGGTAAGGCTCATCATATATCTTAAAATGTTTTATACAAAGCAATTTCTGTGTTGCATGCTAAACATAATTGCTTCTTTGGGTTAATTGTGTACTCTACAAGTCCCCACATCCGATCTTGTCCTGCAAGAGTTAAAGCATGTCTGCACTGTGCTAAGCTTGATCATTTCAGTAATGTGCTCATTGGCTAAGAAAGCCCAGCTGACGCTATTGGCCAATAAGCACATGCTTTTTTTAGCTCAGTGGAGCTCACTCGATGTCCCACACTACCATGTTACATTGCTAAAATGTTGGAAAACAGTTTGCCAAATTATACTGGGAGGGTGGAAAGGCACTCCTGCCACCAAAATCACAACAATGGACTTTAGTGAGTATGGTGGTTGGATTGTTCCTTTAAGATTTGTACATGTGAGACTGTTTTTGATGAATGTATTGTATTGAAACATGGAGTCTCCTGGTATTAATTATATTTAGGCCATTTGTGCTATTAAAGGTGAGGGATGAAGATATTTTCAGATGTCTAGTGGTTATTCTTGAATGGTTACGTGTAATACATCTCAAAATATTCCAGAATGATAACACAATTTTCTAAAGCGTGTTTATATGTATACAACACAGAAATGGGGGAGATAAATCAAAATCAGGGTGGCAGTTTAGCATTTAGCCCTTGAAGATTTGTCATTCTGCTTTGACATCCAAGCCAATTTTTTTTTTTTTTTTTTGTGCCAATCGAGATACCAGCACAGTTTTTAGATATATAAACAAGTTTAACCCCTTAAGGACACATGACATGTGTAACATGTCATGATTCCCTTTTATTCTAGATGTTTGGTCCTTAAGGGGTTAAACAAGATAAACAATATAGAAATGGCTAAACTTTCTGCACAGCCTATGCCTTGTCTGCAGAGCCACAGGAGTTGCCCTCAAGTGTCCAGTAATGCCAGAACCAGAACAAGGTTTAGGAAGGTGAGTGTTGTAATTCCACTCTGCAAGTATCCTGGCTGCACAAACTCAGCATCGTCAGCAAGGCAGAGGAAGGAAAAGTAAATGGCTAACGTATAGTCGTCAGCCTGGTGATCTTCTACTGCGACCATCTGCATAAACATTGGAGTAGCAAGCTTGTCAGTCGGTTCTTCAGACTACAGAGAGTCAGTTGTGGATAGTCCGATTGGGATTTTCTCTCGTTCAACAACAGGTGATGTATGGGCAGTGAGGGGCTCCGGTGTCTCTCTGGTAGTCGAGCCATTAAGACTGTAAATTTTCTTGCAGCTGCTGGAAAGTAGACCATGGCTGGGTCACTTCAGGAGGCCTGACAGTGATTGCTGCCATAGCAGGGACAGAGAGCCTATGCTGGTGTTGCTGACCTTGGGATGGTCTCCAGGGACCGGGATGACCCCCCCCACTGGTCCATAGGTGAGAGCAATCCAGATTCAAGATTTCAGACAGTTGTGGCAACGGGAGAGCAGCCACCTCCCCTGCATCAGCCATGCTTGTAGGCCTCAGGTGACAATCAGATGATTTTTGCAAAAGTGGTGGCTTATTTGGCCAGGTATGTTGAGTTATAGCTGATTTTCGGTAATTTACCGTTTCATTTGCGGTGCCGCTTCATTTGCAGTGATAAGCCGGAGTAGCAGTGCTAGCCTCTGTACAGCTCATTAGTCAGGCTCTGCCCCTATTTTAAATGTATTTATTTTATTAAAATTTACTAGGAATTCTGCTAGCACCCTGTATGGATGAAACTGACAGGGTTATTCACTAAAGTGAAAATTTTTAATAAATGCAAACTGTATTTTAAATTTAAGTCACACTGGAAAAATTCTCTAAGTCAGCTATGTTTCCAGTTTGACTACCTTGGCCTTAAATTTGAAATTCACTTACAGGGTTATTCACTAAAGTGAGAATTCAAAGTTAATTCAAAGAAAATTTCTAATTTAAAGCCGACTTTAGCTTAGCCTGAATTAAATCAAAATGGTTTCACTTTCAATCAGATTTAACTTACTTTAAATATTTTTATTTCCTGCTCTGTAAATTGAACTGTAATTACAAACAGAAGGTTCCTGCAAGGCGTAGTAAGCTATTATTGTGCACTCTGGAATGCCCGCTCCTTCTGCAGCAATATAAAATTAACAGCCATACAGGACCTTTTCATATCAAATTCTTTCACATTTCTTGCACTCACTGAGACCTGACTGTCCCACTCTGATACTGCTACTCCTGCTTCCATATGTTATGGTGGGCTACAATTCTCGGAGACCAAGCAACTATAAAGGATGTAGTGTAGGTATCCTTCTCTCCCCTCAATGTACCTTTCAACCTATCCTCCCTGCCCTATCCTTTACTTCCTTTTGAAGTTCACACTGTCTGTCTATTTAAATCCACTCCTCTAAGAATTGCCATCATTTATCGCCCTCCCCGGTCATCCTAGGCTATTTATTTTTCCTTCTGGCTACACTATTTCCTCTCCTCTTGCACTCCTTCCCTCATTCTTGGGGACTTTAATATCCCAATCAACAACCCTAACTGCCCTGATGCCTCTCGTCTGCTCTCTAGAACCTCCGCACACAGTGGTCTAATTCATTAACTCATAGAGCAGGAAACACTCTTGACCTCAGCTTCACCAATCTCTTTGCCACCTCTAATCTCTCCAATGTACCATTTCCTCTATCTGACCACCATCTGCTGTCCATTGACATCCGCATACCCTGTACCCAAAGTACCTCAACATCACCTCATCAGTTTTGCAGAAACCTCCATTGTCTTGACCTACAGCAAGTCTCCACCAACTTCCAAAGTCTCCTTTTACCAATCTCAAATCTCACCTTCCCTAACAGGTCAACTCTCTCCTCTTAACTAGAAATTATGGCACCTCCTACACTTAAATGCACTAAGCATCTCCAATTACAGGCCTGGCACCCCAAGCTGACCCGATACCTCCAAAAATGTTCCAGAATTGCTGAACACTGCTGGAGAAAGTCTCATTCTGCGTCTGACTTCCTGCACTATAAATTTATTCTGCGCTCCTACAGTCTGGCTCTTTCCACTTCAAAAGAAAACTACTCCAATACACTCATAACCACACTCTCCCATGAGCCCAAATGACTGTTTCATGCTTTTATCTCTCTTCTGCACCCTGTCGTGCCGCCTCCTCCTACCAACTTGACTGCTACAAACTTTGCAACTCACTGCACTGAGAAGATTTCTAGAATCAGGGAAGATATCTCTCATCTCTCTCCATCCACTGCCAACTTTTCCCCTAACCACACTCCCTCAGCTGTCCTATGCTCATTTGCACCCGCTACAGCAGAAGATGTTTCCTACCCCACCACCTGTTCCCTCGTTCCTATTGCCTCGTATCTCATCCGCACTTTGTCTCCTTTTCTTGCACTGCCTCTCACTAAAATTAAAAAAAAATCCATCTCCTCTGGCACATTTCCTCTACCCTTCAAATATGCAACCGTAACCCCGATTCTGAAAAAGCCCAACCTTGACCCTGATTCCCTATCCAACTACCGCTCCATCTCGCTACTGCCGTTTGTCTCTAAGATCCTTGAGCGAGTTGTGTATTCGAGATTGACAGACTTCCATGAATCCAACTCTCTGCTTGACCCACTTCAATCTGGATTCCGCGCTCGTCACTCTATGGAAACAGCTGTGACCAAAGTATACAATGATCTTATCACTGCTAAATCCCATGGTCACTACTGTATCCTAATTCTCCTTGATCTTTCTGCTGCTTTTGACACTGTTGATCATCAACAGCTTTCTCGTTCTCCATAATCTCGGTCTACGAAATACAGCTCTCTTCTGGTGCTCTTCCTACCTCTCCCAGCGCTAAATTCAGTGTCTCTTTCTCTGGTTCTGCCTCTTCTCCCCAATCCTTCTCTGGTGGTGTTCTTCAAGGGTCTGTCCTTGGTCCCCTATTGTTCTCAATCTACACTGCCTCCCTTGGTAAACTCATCAGCTCCTACGGCTTCCAGTATCATTTCTATGCGGATGACACGCACATTTATCTGTCCTCCCTTCTCACCATCACCACATTGCAGGGTCTAGCAAGCCATTAACATAGCAAGGGATATAATTAAACAGAACTTGCAATAAAGAAAGGATCAACTTTAGATGACTCTTTACAGGAAGTGTTTAGGAAGGCTGTGCAAGTCACATGCAGGGAGGTGTGACTAGGGTTCACAAACAAAGTGATTTAACTCATAAATGGCAGAGAATTGAGCAGTGAGGCTGGAGGGGCTTGTTCTAAACACCAAAACTGCTTCATTAAGCTAAAGTTGTTTTGGTGACTATAGTGTCCCTTTAACCCCTTAAGGACACATGACATGTGTGACATGTCATGATTCCCTTTAATTCCAGAAGTTTGGTCCTTAAGGGGTTAAGTTAACGTTGTTTTGGTGACTTTTGTGTCCCATTAAATTTGGAATCCACTTTGAATTTACCTTGAATTCTCACTTTAGTGGGTTCTACAAGCAAATTGATAAAGAACTAGGACTTGATATTAAGGACTTTTACCACTGCTCAATTAAGTATCTGGTGCCACACCTGGCCATTGTTACAAATTACACTGCAGTAAATTAAGACTGTGAAAGTAAAATATACCTCATTCTTGTGACCATAAAAGTAGACCACATAATACAATAGTATTCCATTTGCATTACACATTTTTATGGGTCAGCTTTTACATCTTTTTTATACTATTCTATTGCTGATCAGGTTGTTTAAAGGGTTATCCAATATTTAAAGTACTGCTGCCATGTATAAGTGTATTCTTAGCGTATTAATTCCTTTGATACCTCTAATGTTTGCATATTTATAGTTTCAAAAAAAAAATCTAAAAACTTTGTTTGATTTACAGTTTACACGAACTTGTAAAACATGAAGAAAATGGATTTATATTTGAAGATTCAAAAGAACTTGCTGAACAGTTACAGGTAATGGAACTGCTTATGGTAGGGTTAGGTAAATACATCTCCCTTAATGCACTTACAGACATAATGCTGTCCACATGTAAATGTAGTCCACACCATCTGGAGTTGCAAAGGTTGCCTACCCATAGCTTATGGCAGTATATGCCAAGTATCTGTGTTGGAGATGGAAAACTGAGAGATGCTGTCTTTATGATCAGGGCCCTTATGAACAGTCATGGTTGTCAAGGTTGCCAGTCTAGGTTGCCAGGTGATCCTGGGAAACCTGGACTGTTCGGAAAGATCAAGTTTCTCGTTCATCGTGTAATATGCCGCCACTGGAGGCGACACATGCAAGCATGTAAAGGTTTTATGCTGGGGAATGTCTGTGGGGGGGTACAGATTTGTATTCCTAACACTATAGAATCTCTTTAATACTGCTGCACTTTTACATTACCTGTTATTTGATCTGGCATCATTTTGTTGATCATGATCTAATTGTTATTTTGCAGGTATTATTTTCAGATTTCCAGAGTGATTCATGCAAATTAAACAGATTTCGTCAAAATCTACGAGAATCAAAACAAATGCGCTGGGATGAGAGCTGGGATCAGACTGTACTTCCAATCATTAGAGGATGTTCCAAAGCACAATGATAGCCAAGTTACTGTTAATTTTCTATTGAAATAAGGTTGTTTTTTTTTGTATAAATATGTTTAAATCCAAATGCAATAGTTTGTCTTGTGTTTTATGAAACAAGTGTTCTATAATACATATACCACTCTATTATATTGATTGTTATCAACACTGGATAAAGAAAAAAATTATATGTATATCTAGCTGTATCTATCAGTCACGCGCTCTCTATATATATCTATCTGTCTCTCTATGTCTCTCTATATCTCTCTCTCTATATATATGTGTATATATATATATAGATATATATATATATATATATATATATACAAATAGATATATCAAAACAACCAAAGAAGATTCATAAACAACACCACAATAACAGAAAAGTAAAGCAATCACCTACATGTGGCTATGCATATAAATGGGTATATTAGACCATTAGATAGAGATCTTTATATAAAACACAATATCATAATTTGGAAAATAACAATATATAAACAAATAATAGTGCAATATGCCAAAAAAAACACGCATACTTTCTAGAGCTGCTGGAAGCTCAAGTGTTATCAGCATGGATACAATCCCCGTCTCAGGATATACTGCAGTTTGGGACACCAGATGTCTGAACCTAAAGTGATTAAACTTGATTTATAGCTGATGTAGCTCCTTGCTTCCTGAATAAGGCATATAGTCATGGAAGCGATCGTCATCTCGAAGTGACGTATCGCAAGTATGGAAGGTACATATTAATGATGTTCTAATCGATTACTCCCTGGAAATGGCATATCACATAAAATATCTGGAAGAAGTGCAGCCAACATCTTGGTGCTGGGCAAATATAAAAAACCCCATGTACAGACAATAATATTAATTGGCAAATATAGAGAATGGAAGATATAAAAAGAAATACAACTGTAAATGTAAAACAAGGTGGCGGCAATATTGTGTATATGTCTATAATAGAAGAAACTATATCAAAAACATATTAAAACCATTACATATATGTTAAACATTGTAGTGCATGCAATTCATACATGGAAAAAATATATTTATAAAAGCAAATATTTAAAAAAAACATTCTTTGTAAAATTTTGAATCATATTTTTACATATTTTAAAGGCTATGAGGATGGACTATGAGGAACAAAAGGAAGTGATACATGAAAACCCTTAAATTTAAAAAAAATGGTTGAATTAAAAAGGAAGTAGAACAAAATAGTAAAAATTTAAATGATTATTGTCACGTATTCATCCGGTTATAAAAATGTGGTTAATGACATTTACTGTCCACACAGGAAAAGTTGTGCCGAGCAACAACCAAATCCACGGAAGGGTTAATGCTGAGCAGCAATTATGCAAATAGCAACCTGGTAACTGCCTTTGGGGTCAAAGGCCGGTTACAGCCTGTCAGACCTAGAGGAGGGGGTATTTAGGGCCAGTTCTCATCCTGCTCAGTGTCCTGTCGTGGTTTCCCTTGTGGTTGTCTCAGAGCGCGTTATTGATTCTGGTAATTCTGGTTATTTGACTTTGGCATTGTTTTTGACTTCCCTGTTTTCTGGCATCCCTCACTCCTGGCTTTTCCTTATCGTTATGTTATCGTTCTGTATCCCTTGACCTCGGCTATTCCTGATTCTTAATAAGTTGTGACTTTGGTGCAATTCAGTGGACTTGGCAATTAACTCTGAATGCAAATTGTTGTAACAACTGTGTCTTCCACAATAGTTAACACGTCCTTGTTCTTTGCTGTTTTATTGCCTGATGAATGTTAATGTGCTGCTTTAGCGCAGTGATTTCCATATCCAGTTTTTGGACAGAAATAGAGTTGGCTGCAGACATTCCAGTTGTGACAATTGCACCGACAGTGGCACAAACCAATGCAACAATTATAGCGGTGAGAAACCTTTTGGGTCGGTTGCTCATTGGAATAGTTCTGGATACAAAAGGTTTCCGGGCTTGCTCCAAGATGTTTTGCACACAATTCTGCACTCTTTGGAGGTGCATCTGGTACCAGGTTTGTAACTCAAGGGTTGTTAAGCATACAATCTTATAACAGTGTGACATCACTTGGCATAGGACAACATATTATTTATGATTCATCAACGTTATGCATTCTGTCTATTTATATTTTTATAAATTCATCCCTCACTACATTTATTACTGGCTCATCAGTAATTCACCTCTAGCAGCTAAACAAGCTAGTAACCTGCTTCAAAAATATAGTTATTGGATGGCAAGAAAATGGTTAATGACCTGAACATACATAAGATCACGGCACATTACAACAGGGGATTCAATCATACATGCAGGTTAGTCGTTCACTCTTCTGCATCCGAATCCACACCTACAATCCTTCATTGAGATTTAGGATGACAAGTACGCAACTGGTTAATGTGAATCCACTTTTCAATAAAATCACCATCCTTAGGAATTTTTATCTTGTACGCTAATGGGGAAATTTTGTCAATTATGGCATATGGCCCTTTCCAAGAAGGTAAAAATTTATTTTCCTTGACTTGATTTTGCGCAAAGTTATACAGATAACTGAAAGGCATACGGGTCAAGGTATACTGCTGTTTTCCAAAAGTGAAGGCCAATTTGTATTGGTCTTCATCATGGACTGGTACAGTCCAATATACCTGCGCACAGTCAATGGCAGTGAATATTTTGGATCTCTGCATTTGTACCAAACATTGGTCTATGTATGGCACTGGCCAACCAGACATATAGACACGTTTATTTAGCTGTCGTAAGTCAGCTCTGTGGTGAAAGCCACTTTGCCACTGTTTTTTTGAGAGGACTCATGGCCAGCCTTTTACCTTGGGATTATGGTCACTGTGACTTATTTGGTTTTAAGGCACTGTTTCTGCCCCTTTAAACTTTTAACTGGAACAGATTCAAACATGCGGCGGCCATCTTAAATTGTCCAGCAGTGTTTTGTCGTCGAGTGTATGGAACTGTTTGGGCATGGGACCATGTACACGGTGGGGCAAAAATACGACTTCCAGGAAATTCCTGAACCCCTGAACCGATCTGGGTAATTTTTGGATATGTTGCGGGGCTATAAGGGGATGTGGGGATATGTTGTATTTTGGGGTACTTTTTGGGGTTTGTAAAAATGTTTGTTTTTTTCTGCTTAGAGTTAATTGAGTTAGTCCATTGTCTTTGTTAATTGTATCACAGGCAGAAGGGAGGGATTGTGTACAATGTATGGGAGTGTTTGAAGGTAAACCTCTGTTTTTATTGGCTTGTATGTTTTGTGTTCGGTGCCCAACTAGGTCCACGTGGGCGTCACCTTTGCTGTGAAAACTGTATAAAAGGCCTGTGTGTTCAATAAACCTTCTGTTCTACTTCACCGTCAGTACTGAGTTCTGTCTCTTATTGGGGGAAACTGCTTCAAGGGATTGCTATGCTCTTCATACTCCCTTGAATAATCACTAGCTCTTCTAAGAGCTGTTACTGCTTTGCTCTCTGAAGGAAGAGATGTTCACCCACTGGAACCAGGAGCCTTGTCGTAGGTCCAGGGTGGGTAGGAGACGGCGAGACCCCAACCAAGCTGCAGCAGTTTGTGGGGTCTGCAGTGTTTATGGTGTGTACGGTGCAGTGCTGATGGTCCTTGGTGAACACTAGGAGCATCCGTCGGCGGAGGTACCCAACCGGGGTACAGGAAGCTTTGTTACAAGCGCATAAACGCCATTGTCCATTAGGTTTCAGAATTCCCAAGATTGGATTATTATATGAACTGTGCACCGGACGTACAATTCCCCTTTCCTTTAAATTCTGAATGATGTCGTGTAGACCATCGTATAAAGCCAATGGGAGTCTATATTGTTTGATAAATTGAGGTGGTAAATCTGGATCAGTTTGTATTCTGGCTACGTGGAGGTTAGTTAACCCACAGTCATAGGAATCTTTGGCAAAAATATCTTGGAATTCAATAAGGATTTCCCTTAGCTGTTTCCGCTCAGCATCGTTGGAGCAACAGTCAGCTAAAGATATTTGCTCTTCAAGCCTTTCCTGAAATCCTGGAAAGATTTCAGGCTGGCCTATCTCATAGGCTTCTTCAAGTTTAGAAGTTAGTTCAGTTCGGTGTTGACTTACCTTTTCTGCTCATCGAAGGTGATCGATGCTTTTTCGATTTTACACGAGCCTCATTCGATGTTAAAGGGATATACAGATAGGATAGTAAATAATCCTTCTGGGGAGGAATGGAATATTTCATCCTAAATTAAGTACTCTTCAGGGATGAGGTCTATAAACTGGTTTTGGAAACAGAATGTATATTACTCAGCATCCAATGCTAGACCTAATAATGTTCCTTTTGGTAAAGTAAAACTATTGGGTGTAACATTGTTGCCTATTACATAGGTGGGATTCTCACCAATACTTACCACTGGTGTAGGTATCACCACCATCCCTAATTGTTGTATCCTATTGGATAAACAGATTAGGGCGTCAGAGTTTTTCAATCTCTGACCCTTCTTTAACTCTATGGGTAAAAGAAAATTACTTGTCCCTTGTATTTGTCCTGATTTCAGGGCATTTTCCTTGTGTTGGTATCCACAAGGATTACCTTTTAACCTTGTCCACAAGTTGGAGTTGATCAGGTCAAGGTGTATGGCAGAGCGATGTATGACATCATTGCCTATGTAAACCTAATAGCGAGGTTTGTCTACCACTAGGAATAAATATTTAGCATCTTATTTCCAGTGGAAATGGATAGTAAACATTTTGCTATCACATTGTGACTCTCCGATTCGCCATCCATGTTCTGGATCCACCTGTCATGTGGGGAAGTGTAACTGATCATTTTAGGATTAGCTATCTGTTTTAACAGACTTCTGCTAATATAGCTGTTTTCACTCTGTTTTCACGAGCTTTGCATTCCTACTTCTTCCTAAGTCCTTTATTTGAATAGGAAACAATAAGTTGTTATTAACCCTTTCAATTCTGGCAAGAAATGGAGCATGACCTGCCAGGTCAACAGATTCAACATAGTCCCTGTGGAGAGAGACATTCTGGATTCTCTCTGGAGCGACTCTTACAGATTGCATCATTCACCTGCAGGATAGTCACGTCAGGTGACTAACTATTCCTAAAATGTACCTCAATAGAGTCAGGTCTTTCTTCTATCACATGGCAGTTACGTTCAGATTGAACATGTGATTTCTCATAGGTTATGGGAACCTTAGCTTGTGACCATACACTACCATTCACACAGTCAATAATTGTGTTAAGTCTTCTGAGTAGGTCTATACCCAGAATCAGTCAGTCATAGAGGAGATCTACCACTATTACCGGGTGTCTAAAGGTTTTGTTACCTATTTTAAACTTTAACCAGGTATTGCCAATAACATGAAGGGCATTTCCTCCTACACTCAACAGAGCATTGGGGAAATCTCTTAGCTTTGTCTTATCTGTTGCGAGGTCCATTACCTGCTGAAAGTAGGTATTGGATAAAATAGTGGCTTGTGAACTAGTATCTATTAACCCTTTGAAAGGTTAGGGTAGTGAATCCTGTATTTCTACAGACGTGTAGTACCTTTCTTCATGTTCTTCTAATTCACATAAGAATTTAGAATGTGTCAACATATCACTCGTTACCTATGTTACCTGTCACAGCAGTAGTTTCTACCTGTACTGAGGTCTTACCCACTGGCCTATACTTCTTAGGAATATCTTGAACTATCAAGCGGGAACTGGTGGCTGGCATCTCATCAGTTAACCCTTTCAGGGCTGGATCCTGGAAACTAGAGGCTGCTAGGGATATTTTAGCCTTTGGCTGAAATGAAAAAACAGAGGGAAACGTTGCTCTTCCTTCACCTGAAAGTGAAGTGACGGGTCAGGCAATAGTTTTTCTAACACAACTATTGTTTGTCTGACTGTATGAATCTGGAAAGGAAACAGGGTTAGACATTACATCTATTGACATCCAAGCCTGTTTACTCACAGTGGCTGTTTTTGCGGTGGCACCTGTGGTTGCTGTTGCAATTGAATAGGTAGCTCTTCAATTGGGGCTGTCCCTAAAAAAGTAATTCTGGCAAAGACTTGGTTAATCTTTGTCATTTCTTCCATTAATTTGCCCATTCGGTCGGTCAGTTGACCAACCTGACGACGCAATTTATTTCTGCCATCGCCATTGTGTCCTTGCCCATTAGAATTAGGCTGGGATGGCTGAGACTGTTGGGAGTTATTGGAATCAGATTGGCTGTTTCTGCTTCCATATCTCCTTTTTCCCTGAGCATTCCTTCTCCACTGGGAATTGCCTTGGTTCTTCTTAAACCAGGAATGTTTATTCCCAGCATTGGACTTTTCAGAGTTATTATCAGAGGAATTAACAGGATTGCTTATGGCATTTTCCAGTTTCTGAGGTTTTGGGGTTTTCAGAACCTCATAATAAGTCCTCTTTTTCTGTTGGGTTTCTAAACCTAACTGAATTTTAGTCTCTGACACCATTTTATCACCAGGTTTCTTAACCTTTTGATTTTCGTCATGTGCATGATATATAGTATACAATTTCATGCATTGACTGACTAGCCATTCCAACGGTAACTTACAATCATAATCTCTTGCAAGATTCATCGGTATGTTTACTAGCATAGCATAAAAATACAGATCTTTGAAATATGTACTTCCATACCTGGGTTTCCTCTGGGCCACGGAATATGCATTTCTAAGAATTATTAAAAATTCTCTGGGGCTTTGATCTGTACGGCACGTTAAGTTATAAAGCGCTTTCTTAGCAGAAGCAATGGTTTTATACTTACCATATTCCATGATTATCTCAGATTTCATCTTTGACCAGGACATTAGCTGTATAGCTTGAAGACTCTCCAGGTAGATACGGCACATTGAATCAAAGGTCCATGTAATGTACCATTTCTTATGGATGTCATCATACATGCCCAATGAATTCATGACACTTTCATAATTTTCTAGGTGCTCAGATATGTTTCCTGAACTTCTAGAAAATTGTGGGACTGTCTCTTTAAGGAACCTAATTATCTTAGGAGTTTCATAGTCAGGAGTAATTGATTTATGGTTTTTGTTTCTAGTTTCCCTGCTTTTAGGTAAACATCTGTGCGATCTAGCTACTGAATAGGGATCTTGTGGAATGACCCTTAAGTCCCTCCAGAGCTGGTACTCTTGAAGCTTTATAAGCTTGAATGATGGGCCCCCTTAAAAAAAAAATGTGTCTTCACTTGTGTGTCTTGTAAACCCCCTTTTGATTTTCTTAACCTCTTTAGAGTATTTTTCCCCCTTTTACTATGTCTTACACCCTCTTGTTTGTTTCTTATAACCCCCCTTGTGTATCTTTCCCCAGCACCTTTCTGTGGCTCTCTCCCCTCACTGCATTTTATGTCTTTTTCCATGCGATATAGACTTAGATATATATATATGCTTAAATATATATTTGTGTTAGGTGGTTAAGATAGTACAGTGTGAAATACCATGAATAAGCGTAGGATGATAAAAGGAGCAAGTCGGTTGTGGTGTGCCGAAACCGACGATGAGGTAGGCCTGAGAAAGAAGAGGGCCCACCCAGGAAAAGAAATAGAAAGGAAAATAAATGTTAAAAGTGGTGTGGTGGGAGGGTCATTCAACGCTGACCTCGAACGGTAAGGAGCCAGGCAAGGGGAGTGCCTTAAGTAGGCTAGGGGTAGAAAACCAGCACCTCCCACAAATGCAGGCAAATTGCCTTAATACTTGTGTTAGGTGCTTAAGATAGTACAGTGTGAAATACCATGAATAAGCGTAGGATGATAAAAGGAGCAAGTCGGTTGTGGTGTGCCGAAACCGACGATGAGGTAGGCCTGAGAAAGAAGAGGGCAAAAATTAAGTAATCCAATTTATTAACAGACAACCAATACATATACATTTATCAACCAGACATGTTTATGAAAGCATCTTTTAACTCTTGTACTGGGTTCGGTATGTACCGTGAGTAAGCGGATGACTTCCAGCGCCCCAGTGTTGTGATAACATGAGTTGGGACGTTGAAACTGGAGGCTGTGGACGCGGCTCCTATACGAAAGGAGTGTCCTGAGTAATTGTTTGCGTTGAGGCCCAGTTGTGTGAGCAAGGACCTGACGTAGGTCATGAAGGTTGTAGTGGTGAGTACTGCACCTTGTAGTTGTAATAACGGTTGCGAGGGCAGTAAGTGATGGTGCTGTATGTAGGCATCAAGAACTTTTACGGGACACCATCTGTTGTGCGTGGGGTAGTACGGAATGTTTACAGGTATGTGCTGGCTGGTTTTGGAGTGAGGTAAAGACAGGATGTAATGATCCATATGTTTTGTCAAGTGGGAATAGAGGAGGAATGGAGTGGTTTGGGTCGTGGAGGTCGTAGTGAATTCTCTGGGTCGTAGAAATCCATAGAAAGCGATGTATATTGCTGTTTTGATGATAGAATTCGTATTAGTGTCAAACGGTTTCAGGTCGAGTAGGTTAGATAAAGCTTTGAAGATATGGTTATCTATGGGTAGCCTCTGGGCCAAATGTGTGGGTTCTGATTTTTGAATACCTCTGAGTATGGTCTTAATTTGGTGAGAGGCCATGAAACTGTTGTTATTTGGGTGTAAGATGAGCATGTGGTGTTGAATGCCAGTGAGATAGAGTTTGATGGTGTTATATGACAATTTGAGTTTAAGGTGGCAAAAGGAAGCAAACCCCAAAAAAGATGTCATAACAAACGGTTGTATGATGTTATGTTCCAGAAGGAATCGTTTGAATAGTGTGAAAGCCCTGTTGTATGTTTTGTTTGTATTGTGTGAAAGTGCCAACTGAGACAATGTCCTGCTATGCTGCATGATGACGTCTAGTCCAGTATGAGTTGTTGAAATGTTGGAGTGATGGTGGCTGTGGGTGCTGCTGACGGGAGTGCTTGATGAAACTCCTGAAATTTAAAGCGAGACAAACTGTCAGCAGCTGTGTTGTATACACCTGGCACATGGAAACAACATAGGAAGAAATTATGACAAGCTGCCAACCAAGTGAGTTTCCTCAGAAATCTCATAATCGTAAGAGATTTGGAACGACCTTTGTTGATGATGTGACAGGTCGCCTGGTTGTCTGAGTAACAACGCACTGGCGTATTAGCCCATAAATGACCCCACGCTACGGCAGCCGCCACTATGGGGTAGATCTCAAAAAGAGCTGAGGTAGTGGAAAAACCTTCCAAATCCAGAACTGCTGAAGGCCAGCTGCCCCAAAGCCATTCGTTCCCAAAAATTGCTGCAAAACCAGTGGTAGATGCCGCATCTGACCAAATGGTAGGAGATGATTCAGTCAATTGAGGGAGGAACATACTTTTACCATTCCAAGTGGTTAAAAACCTCTTCCACATGTTTAGATCTGCCGTAGCTTGGGCATCTAAGGACAACCTGTGCGTGTCATGTAGAAAAAGTGGGAAAAGATGCAATAGTCGTGAAATAAAGGAGCGGCCTTGAGGTATGATGCGCATTGCAAAATTTAGTGACCCCAGCAGGGACTGTAGTTCTTTGCGGTTGCAAGTGCCGAGCTGTAGGTAGTTGTTTATGTAAGTGAGAATATTGTCTATCTTTTCGTAAGGTAGGCTTGCTTGCATTGTGGCAGAGTCTAACTGGATACCCAGAAAAGTGATAACCGTGTCTGGCCCTTCTGTTTTCTTTGGGGAGATGGGTACACCTAGTTGCTCAAACAGCTTAGTGGTAGCTTTGAGGCTAGTGGGAGGTGCAGTATTCTCCTCGACCAGTAGGAAATCGTCCAAGTAATGTAATACTGTAGGGCATCCGGCTATGTTCAATAGTAACCAGCATAGTGCTTCGGCAAATGTGTCGAAAATAGCTGGGCTACTTTTGGACCCAAAAGTTAACCGGGAGAAAAAATAGTAGTTCTCGGGCCACTTGATGCCATGCAGGTGCCACAGTGTGGGGTGGATAGGGAGTAATTTGAAGGCGTTAGTAATGTCGATCTTACTGAGCCAGGCTCCCACACCTGCTTGTATGATGGCTGTAATGGCGTGATCTATGGTGGTGTATTGCAGAGAGAATTCCTCAGAGGGTATGAGGGAATTAAGACTGGGGTTGGCCGATGAGTGGGGAGCCGATAAGTCAATGATGAGTTTCTGTTTTTGGGAAGATTTCCCTGTGACAATACCAATAGGGTTGGTGCGCCATTCTGTGAATGGGGGAGTTCTAAAAGGCCCCAATACAGAGCCCTCCTTCACTTCTTGGTTTATGAGGGTGTTAACCACTGTGGGGTTGTGTTGGGCGGATTGTAGGTTTGGGCATTCCAGAGTGCCAGCTGGTATGTGTAGGATACCTGTGTGGAAGCCTTCTGTTAAACCAGAAATAAGAAAATCTACCAGGTGTCTAGATGGGTGCTGAGACATCAATGCTGTGAATACTGGCATATTAATGGACGTAAGGTAAGGCTTAGAATACATTTTATTTGGACACATGGTCTTAGCATGTGCCCTAAAACATTTTGAACAGACATGCAATAGTCTACATCCACTGTAATTACAAGACCCAACATTGAAATTATTACATATCTGGGACTTGCCCAGAAACTTGATTGGGCGTCCCAATTTGTCTTTGGATAGTTTCCCTGGATCCCCAGAGGAACTAGTTCCTTGTGTGGAGCATGTCCGTCTGCCGTGTTGGGACAAAAATTAGTAGTATGGGCTGTGGAGGAGCAGTATGCACAAGCTGGTGTTCTTAGACCTGCAAAGTGTCTGCAGAATAAGACGGTATCAATCCTTCCCCAGTTGGATCGTGTACCGTACTGGGAGAAGGCTCCAGCCACTTTTGCAGAAAAAGACCTATGGTAGTCATAGAATGCTGAACCACCATATTTGTTGCCCAGGTCTACCAGCTTGTGCATATAGAGATCAAACTCCTCTCTTCTGTTGGGATAAACCGCACAGACGACATCCCTGTAAATACCAAACGCTAGTACAAATTCAGGGATAGTCAGTTTCCTGTTCAGGCGGGCATCCCTAGATCTGACAATAACAGAAACATCATCATAAGCATACGTCTTATGTTCCACAATGTCCTGGGAGGCAATCAACAGGGAAGCCAGGTTGACGTCTTTACCTTCCAGGATATCCCTTTTGATATGCTCAGGTATCATGTGGGCCGGGCTAACTTCCTGGTCATCCAGGGGGCTGGCTGGAGCGACTAATGGCAAGGCTGGTGTTTGTACCGCAGCCGCGGGTGGCCCTGCTAGAGTGAGGGCCGTGGTGACCGACTCAAGTTTCTCCAGCCTGGAGTTGACCTTGCCCATGGATGCCATGAGTGAGGATAACATGGCATGTATGTCCCCTGGGTTGGACTGGCTAGATCCTTCCCCGGCTTCCATGTTATTGGTTGATGTGCGTAGCAGTTTGAAAAGTTCTGCCTTCCTTGCTGTAGCGAGGTAGGGGATTTGTCGTCTCCTTAATTCCATGGTTATGCGCGGGATTGTCCAAGATCTAATTGATGCTGGACTAGCTAGCTCTCCTCCTTGTGTGGGAGTGACAGCTCTAGCCGGGGTGCTAGGCAGGGAGAAATCCTCTACCCCTTCCTGAGACATACTATAAATAAAACAATAATTAGTATATAGAACCACCAAATTGTACTGGCAGGCTAGCTAGGCCGGATGGCGAAAGTATTATGCTTGTTTGGTGACAGGTGAGGCCCTACTAATTGCCAAGCGGCTTGAGAGGCTCTATCTATGCGTTGGCGCGAGGGGTTATTGAGGCCACTTGACGTAGTGGCAGGAGTTTTAGGCCTCTCGGTGACTGTACGACAGAAAACAGGGGAAGGGAGTGACAGGTGAGGCCCTCTCTTTGCAACATGCGAGGCGGCTAGCTAACGTGTGGCCCGATGGGTGTTTGCCTCCGAAACGTTTGAGGCGGGGTGTTGGCCTCGCGGGACCACTAACTA